TTTCTCTTTTAATAGGAGGTTCGTCCTCTGAATCTGGCGTATCAGAATTAGACGAATCCCGATATTTGGTTCGATGCTTTCTGCGACTGGCACATGACATTCTGCCACTAGATCTCTTACTTTTATTACGAACTTCATCGTTGGACTCGGACGACGAGTTCGCTTCACGATCTTTTCCTTTTCCATCGTCATCCTCATCGCTGCTCGTATCTTTGCGAATAACATTTTCAACGCTAGCTTCCTTACTAAATGCTTCTGTTGACTTTTCGCTGGTATCTTCCACAGTTGTTTCTTTCTTTGGTATGTTTATTGCCACAGATGAATGGTCGCCATTTGAACTAGGAGCCGATATGGTTGTACTACTCGACTTAATGGGTGCACTATCAGCATTTTCGTTGGGGATATTTGCCTCATTTGATTCACCTTGCTGATCTATGTTTGGTTTATCGTCAGACAAGTTGGCTGAAGTGGTTTCGGGCAGGATCTCCTTGCTATCACTTACCTCTTCGTTGGAGTCCTGACCTGGGCATGAAGAGGAGGGATCGTTCGGCTGTTCAGCGCTACTGAGCGTTCTTGTACAAGAAACCAGTTGCTCATCTGCCGAGTCAGCCTCCTCTGCAACTCCCTCACCACTTTCCTGCCACTTGTTCGATTTTTTCCTACTCAAAGAACTATCAGATGACGCTTCTGACAAGGTATGTTGTCTACATAACTTCAGCTTCTGTATCTCGCCAGGCGATGCATCGGCTCTTGTCACTTCCCAAACTGATCCACCATCATTGTCCTCTTCATTTTCTTCCAATTTTGTCTTCAGATCTGTTTCAGTGGATGAAACTATTTCGTTATGTTCTTCTATAGGTTGTTCCAATTCTTTTCTTTGGTGTTTTATCAAAGTTGACTTCTTTTCTATTTCTTTGCTACTGACGCTTTTCACAGTCTCCTCAACATTTCCCGGTTCCGGTGATGATGAATGTGTTCGCTTTGCACGTCTACGTGTTGACTTTCTAGTAGGTTTTTCGACTTCCTTCTCCGGAGTCCCTTTTGCTTTATTTCTTTCGCTTTTGCGCCTCATACCTAAAATATATAAACATATATAAAAATATAAAATACATGAAATAGAAGTCTAATACTGTAAAATAATAATGTTTAATATTTTCTATAAATTTGACCATTAAAACAATAGATTTGTCACAGAATGAATAAAATGTACTTGGTATAAAGTATGACTGATACTTATAAGAAAGTTTTTATTTATGCTCATAAATAAGCATTTGTTTCTTTATTTGGCATACATGCTCTAAAATTATCATATGTTAAATATATATTTTCAGCTGTATTCTTTTCATCTTTTGATTCATAGGTATATCAAAAATATATAAAACTAATTGGCACCATTAAATTATGCTTACATATATTTATTTTAACGTATGCTCTTAGAATATTACGTAATTAAAGTCATTATATTAGTTATGTTAAAATAGGAATCATAAAATACGATGTTAATACTATAAATACATATACAAGATGTTAACAAAAATGTCTTATGAATTGTTGCTATTTCTTAATACTTGGTATTTCAGTCTAAAATAAGAATGTGTATATCTTTGAGTATCTATAATTTGTTCGATTATCTAACTTTTAAATCTCATATCCATATTTTTTGTAACACCTATTGTGCATTACAATCTCAATATACTTATTACCTGTGTTAAAAACAATTCATTTAAATGTTAAAAGAATTGAAGTATCAATCGTTAGTTATGATTAATATTTCTTTAATAAAACTTTAAGAAACAATATAGGTTTGCGATATAATAATCTATGCTTTAAATTATATCATGTAAAACACAAATTTGTTTAAATACTCAATATATTTAATAGCATTTCTTATTATTTGATAATATTTTTCATTACTTTTCAGTACATTTTTAAAAATTGATGTTTACGAGCAATATACTTCAGAAAAAGATAAACTCACTTGGTAAAAATGAAGGATTGAAATAGTGCTTTTAAATATGTGTTGTATAGGCGCTTAATAATCATTTACAGTATTCTTTTACTAATTACTTAATTATTTGATTATTCAAACAAATAATAACCAATTTTCCGCATCGTAAAGAGAAAAAAACGTAGTCTATGTAACGAATAAAGGACGCTTATATGTATTACTTAGTTAAGAACTGGTTTCAATAGTTATTTTTAATAAATATTTACTTCGAACTGTTCAAGTAATACCCCCGAGTTTGATTTGTGGTTACCTGAGAAACGCGCGGGCGTCCTATCATCTAAAAATTATACGCAACTACTTACTCAATAAACGCGCTTCTTCGGTTAGCTAGAAGTCTGTCAAGTACGATGCGCCTTTTGGTAATATTATTGACACATAAATATTGTACTTAAATCGAAACAACGTCTCCTATGATGCTTCTAATAAACGTTCAGTCTACCGTACTCCATTGAATACAAATACTTTACATCACATCAGATAGGCTCACGAAACCGGAACCACTAGTATAGTAAGTTAGTTCACAAATTCTGACACCAGAAAAAGTAACGAAAATGATTGTTCGTAAACTTGCTCATTTATGCCTAATTTTCACGACGATATATGAAAGCGGGATGTGAGACTATGCAATGTTTATATTGTGATTAACAGATGGCGCTGTCTCTAGGGATTTTACTTAGGGAATTCACTCTAATCTAAAATATCCACGAATGGCTCTATCCATCGACAGTCGACAGTATAAACATCCGGTCTTATGAAAATGTTACAGTTGCAATAAAAGTATAAGACTGAATAATATTAATGAAAAAGTATTTTCTTCTTGTAGATAATACATAATAAAATATTTTAGAAAGAAAATAAAGAAATCAGATTCATTCAATTAGAAGAGGTTGACTGAAATAATTATTTACATAAAGATTATTCCCTATCAAATAAAATGCTATCACCACGAAAGTAACTACGGTATGGTTGGCATGACTGCTCGCGTCCGCTCACTGAGCAGTTATTGGATGCTACCAGGGAGCGGTTGCCATGTTTCGGAGCGTAAAATTGTTCTCACTGAGCGACTTAGTGAGCAGTGGCCTTATTTTCAAATAGTATATAAGTTTATATTTAAAGTACAATAATCAGTTTCTATTGTTTTTATCATTACCCTGAATGTATTATTAAAAATGTTAGAATGAAAGATAACGGATATTAGAGAAACTAATGAGCTTTCGTTTCAATGTTCTTGACACTTAAGTAATAATTATTTTCTGTTTTTATTACGAAAGTAATAATACCATCTTTATAAGCAGATTTTTATTCAAAATGTACAGATAATAACCAAGATTATATATGAATATTCCTTAATAAAAAATTGCCTAAAAAGAAAATAGAGCATTTATTTAAAAAGAAATGGGACAATTTCATAATACAATTTCATAAAATAAACATTTTCTAATTTATAAGCTGACGTATCAATCAATAATTATAAGTCTACGTTTTCGTGTTGCTTTTACGACCATAAACGGTAATTAATTTTCTTACAATATTAGTTAGATATTGGAAAATAGGTTTTAATAAAAGAGCACTGTTTGTTTTTTCATTTTAATCTGTTTTATATTGGTTACCGCACCTATTGGTACAGTATTACTTGTTACAATTCACCAGTCATGCACATATGTATTCATTTATTTATTCACATCATTTTATTATTCATTCATTATTCATACTATCGTTTTAATTATTCATTATTTATTCATATCACATTTATATGTTTTTACAACTTAACACAATTCTTAACTTCTTATAGTAAATTTCTTTACACGTCTGTTGGGGCCCGCTGGTCTCCCTATAACTCGGGTACCTCGAGTTCGCTAAGCCCGTACTGTAGCTACCATCAAACATAGCTACAGCCCCTGAGGGATAGTTTAATGTTTAATGGGTAAACATCAAGAGTAAACATCATGACTCATGGACCATATTTGTATTATACAGGGTGTCCCAAAAATGTTGTAACACATTGAAAGGGGTGGTACGGGAGGTGATTTGAAACAACTTTTTCCTTAGCGAAATTGTTGTCCGAGGCTTCGTTGAGGAGATATTAACGGAAAACACTGACCAATCAGAGCGCGCGTATACCAGTGGAGCGGCCGCGGTAGCGAAGGCTACGAGCTAAGCGGCCGCTCTCGTACGCGAACAAGTGGCTCGACGTGCATGGAGGGACATTGGACGCTTAGCTCGTAGCCTTCGCTACCACGGCCGCTCCAACGGTATACGCGCGCTCTGATTGGTTGGGGTTTTCTCTTAATATTTCCATAACGAAGCCTCGGACAACATTTTCGCTAAGGAAAAAGTTGTTTCAAATCACCTCCCGTACCACCCCTTTCAATGTGTTACAACATTTTTGGGACACCCTGTATAGCAGCATATCACACAGCGCAAGGAGGGTAGTAGAATATCGCGATACTCGGGTTAACTTTCGTTTCTATTGTTATACATTGGAAATCGTGATGCACGATGAATACATGTACACTTCGAAATACCGAGAGTTAGTCACAATTTCTGCAATATATACCATAGTTATTCACGATCACGCAATCATTTCTGAATCAGTTGGAGTTATTTTAATGTGCTTCGAGACTCCAACATTGATCTCAACATATAAGTATGTTGCTAAGTAAAGAGAGCTCGCCAGGTGCAAGCACTGTGACAGAAAAGAGATGATATAAATTTAAAAAAAAAAAAAGAAAAACGGTAAAGTCGCTGATGATAGAAGCAGAGGTAGGAGAATAAAGAATGAGGAGAAAAACAGATAGATGGACGCGTATATATATAGTTTTGTACTCGTAGAGTGGGAGGGTGTTGAAGATGAGGGGATAGCGGACTATTCTCGGAGTTGGTTCGGTACGTTTTCCCTCTCTTCCAAATTCGGCGGCCGTAAACGTCAGTAAGCCTTTGTAAATTGCAACGAATAGTTCAAAGAATTGCTCCTCTTTATCGTTTCGTTTATGTTTCAATTGTTGTAGCCGAGTGTGTTACGAGTGCCTAAGTGAAAATCACACTTTAAAGAGACTTTATACCGTGACTAAGAGCAAAAACGTGTTTGGTGGTTTCATTTCAATTTTGCGAGAAAGGTAATAAACTATCGTGGTAACGGTTAAAATATCACCAATAACACTCACTGTTCGAAAGGAAAGAAATTCTAGTTCTTAATTTTTTCATGTATAGTTTACCCGTTTCTGTAATTGATAGCTTCAACCAGGTTGATAGTGTCACTTATACGTGTACAGTTTACAGTGATACAGTTAGACACCGCCGAAATGGTTTTCTTAGCACAGACGTATAAAAAAACGAGCAGCTTCCGGGAATTTTTTTTAAAGTAACTTTTAAACAAATATTGAATTTATATTGACCAATATAGTTGATGTATATTTCAATATATTTAGTAATTTTTTAGTTAATTTCCAATTGCATAAACGCGTGAACGCAGGAACTTTTGTCAGCGATGCACCCGCTCGGTTTGCGTTTCACGCAGGGCGTATCATTCCTCGTAGAATGGCCGGTAAAAAAGAAACGACATACGGTTATTTTCGTTGTAAAATTTGTCGGGACAATCCTTAACGCTAAGGACGCGTTCTTGAAATTTAGAGCGCAAAGCAGGGTCATTTTACGAAAATAGGTATCGGTGAAAAGACAAATATTCTTACAGTAGACGTTTCTAAATTTAAAGAAGCATCTATATCAATTTGACGTTTCCCTGAATCTAATAGCCGTATCATTGGTGATTCATATTCGGGGATATTCTTGTTCGTTGCATCTTCGATTCTCCATTATCGATATTTTTTTATAAACACTGTGTACGTCTGACAAATTTTGAAGCATCGGTACCAGTTGGTATTTAATCGAATAATGACATGAGAAATGTCGAAAAATATCGTCCAGATTTTAATAATGAAAATGAAACAATTTATTAACAGCTCTACTCGTGGCCACGTCAAGGATTGTTGCAACAATATGTATTTAACCGTTCACACTACGAGCACTTTTTGCGCCTGTAGGTAGTAAACTTCGGCCACTTTAAGGTAATGCTCAGCAAATTATTACAATTCATTGTATTTTAAATTTGCTAACACGGGTAGTATAATTTCTCTCGAAACAAAAACAAGAAAAAAGTTTTATAAAGATTTTTATAAAGATTAATTCAAATAAGTCATTTCTTTAATTTATTTAAATCATAAATATGACATTTTTATTCTTGTAGAAAGAGAAAAAAAAAGGTACGAAAATATGTTTCGTAAGGATAATGATACTTGTAGGCCCATTGGGCCTTACCAGACTACCATCATCCCTAGCTAGAGTACCAGAAAAAAGAGCGATAAGAGAACTCGAATAATAAGAATATATCACGAAAAAGAGAAAAAAGTATATATGGAATCTGTGTTTAAACGATGTTGGTCATGGTCATTGCCGTTTAGCAACAATTCGAACACGGAGAGAGGGGACAGGGCAAGAGTGAGAAAGGAAAGCCTTGCATTTGTATTCGTCCTCAACTCTGTCCAAACTATCCAAAATGCAATCGCGTTCACTCGCAACAATTTCGACGAAACGAAAAGGTGAAAGCGAGGCTTTCTTTTTCGACTTCTTGAAGCCGCCTGAACACAAGTACTTACACGCATTGCTGCAGTGGTGTATGCAACTAGAGGGGCAAACTCTGCTCGGCTCACTCATAAGCTAATCTGGCCACCGTGGTCGCGGCCCTGTATTTACTCGATGGCCCACTTTCTGCCCAGTCGTGAATTAAAGCTTCGCAATTTGTGTCATTATTAACAATATCGACGCCACCGTACGAAATAGAATAGAATACGTAAAATAGGTATTTCAGTAGGAACTAAAATGTTTGAATATATCAGGTGTAGACATTAATTCTGTGCTTTACCAATTTTTTTATGTGAAAAAGAACCGATATAGTTGTAAAACAAAATTTCAAAGCAATCTGTGGGGTTTAATACTATGTTGATGTTTTAATGTAACAAAATGTCGAATAAATATTTTTACTTAAACCAGAGTTACAAATGACTGAATTTTAAAGCACAAAATTGATTTCTACACCTAATACATCGTCAATATCGTAATCAAGTGTCGATGATTCCTTCTGCGGAATAGTTGCCTTCTATTTCCATTTTTGGGGCGATCCTACTTTTATCGACAGGTTTTACCTTCCATTCCCAAAGCGTAACAACTAGCGAATAAGAGTTGGCGCTCAAACACGCTTGTAGAGACGTCACACTGATCGCATTGTTTATTTGACTATTCCATAAGGGTCTATGTTAAAATTACAAATTTTTGATGTTGTTTTGCACTTAAAAAAAAAATACATGTCGAATCGAGTAACCTCCTCCTTTTCGAAGTCGGTTAAAAATTGAAGAAGGGTTTAGTCGTCTAAATTGTTAGCTCTCTGTAACGAAACTGTCGTCGAGTGCAAAGGGTTAAAGGTTTGATTTGCATTAAGGGGGTATCCTGAATTAGGAGGTCTAAAAAAAGCGGTTTTTCGTGAATTTTTTTAAGATGGAAAAAAATAATTAATTCTATCGATCTTTTTATTCTATTTTCATACATATTTGAGTAGTCTGTACAAATTTTTTCAAGAAGAAATATTCAAATTGAATCGACTACGAAGCACATTTGTAGAGCACCTCACAATTGAAACCTCCTATCGGCGGGAAAGATGCAGGTCGTAATATTGGTTTGACACAAAAAAAACCAAAAGAAATTTTCATTTACATACATTTTTCTTCTATGCGAACCAAGAAAACCCCGCAAAAATGGTGAAATGTGAAATTACTGCAAGTTTGAAAAAAAGAATGAGTTCTCTGGGTGAAAAAAGTCACTTTAACTTGATAAAAAAGTTGTTTAAAATTTTGTTTGCATGAATTTTCAGAGTTCACATAGAAGAAAAATGTATGAAAATGAAAATTTTTTTTGTTTTTTTTGTGTCAAACCAAAATTACGACATGCATCTTCCCCGCTGATAGGAGGTTTTAATTGTGAGGTGCTCTACAAATGTGCTTCGTAGTCGATTCAATTTGAATATTTCTTGTTGAAAAAATTTGTACAGACTACTCAAATATGTATGAAAATAGGATAAAAAGTTCGATAGAATTAATTTTTTTTTTCCATCCTAAAAAAATTCACGAAAACAGCTTTTTTTTAAACCTCCCAATTCAGGATACCCCCTTAACACGTTGACTGCCAGAGAAATATTCTTGAAAATTTCTGCTAGGATTAAATATTATTCAGACTATTGGAGACTACATAATCAAACATCCGTGGTGGTATTCATTTTTGTAACTTCATCAAGATACACGAATTTCATTTAAATTCATTTCCTGTGAAGCTTAACTTTCAGAATTAATGTTTTTAGTTCTTCAGTGAAAAGCACTGTCACCCACATATGGGTGACGTGGCGATCAACGTGTTAAGGGAGCATAACACTGTAACGACTCTAAAACCAGAGACATTTTGAAAAATTCCTAATAAAGAAATAATGTCATTAAAATTTGACACAACATTCTTGAAATGTATACCTTTCGTGAAATGGCACAAAAAAATATCGATTTGTGTAACAATTTTTGTGTCGTGCCCCCTGAACGAAAACATAATTTATTATAACGAAACTATTTGCTGCAGCTGTCACATTTGTAACGCATTCCACATAATGTTTGGTAAATTGCATTCTTGGAAGGTGGAACGGTTTCTATGGTTATTACCGTGCTATATTATAAACTAACAAAACAGTTCACCGACTGGTAGTGGTTGCATATCCCACCGCTCCCTCGGTCGCAGATACACTGCTGACATCAGCTCTGTTTAGACTGCTATCGCGCGGGAATATATGTGCATCTTATGTCTATAAAAAGATTAAATCAGAGCTTATGAAAGTGTACAGTGTTCACTTTCCGATATTACAGGATAATTAAATTTAATAGTATTTTTTTATTTTCATATTACTAGTACTGTACTTGAAAGTCACCTGTCGGGTGCAAAGCATTAAGGGAGGAAGACTATCTAAGACGGTCCGAAGGAGGTGCATATTCGAAAATTATGTTTGGCTAAACCGAACATTTTCTTGCAACAAGTTGTAAAGTATTCGAAAGAATGTTTCTTAGCACATGTGTTGGTATTTTTGTATTTAAATATATCTTAAATTAACAAAGTTCTGACGTTGTCATCGTTTGAAAAATTTTTAGTAAATAACTGTAATAGTTATAATATATAATAGCACGTTATAAATGTTAGTTATAGATTTACGTACCTGTGGTACCGGCTCTTCTCCTCGGCGGTCGGTTTTTAAATGCCGGAAATCCCGATCTGTATTACCTGTGTGCGACGCGCCACCTTCCCCTTCCACTACGGAATCGCGCGGGCCACAATGGCGCCACGAACTTAAACCGACCATTTCTTTTCGCACACGACGACATGTACAGAGTGTTTCGTTTAAATTGGATTGATTAAATATCTCATGAGGGAATGAAGCTATCGAAACAAAAAAAGGTTTCCATAAAACGTATTTCGTTCAAATGAACAAATTATATGGCATAAATAATTTTACTGTGCGTTAAGTAGTGTGTTTCAGAAACTCATTAAGGGGTAAAACCACTCTAGAGGCCGAAAAAAAGACCTAAATTTGACAATTTATTTTGGGAGTGTGACAAGTGGAATAGAATTTCTTTTCAGAGGGTTTATTTAACATATATTGAAGAACGAAAAACAATTTTTTTATTGTCATTTTCATACAAAATGGCGGCGACAGAGCCCGTCGTCGAAAACAGCTTTATGAAAACACCACCACGAGAGAACGGATTTCTCGGCATCTATGAGTCATGGAACAAAAACTAAAGAAAATGTATATTCTATATACAATTGGCTTTAAAAGTACGTAGAGTTTTTCTTCTTAATCAATTTTTGTGGAAATGGCGCACTTTGTAACCAATGAATTGACTTTTTGCCCTAAAAATGAGCATTACATTGCTTATAAAAAAAAAGTTTACATTCAATCAAAAAACGGCTACGTACTTCCAAAGAGAATGTTGTTGTGAAGCTACTGTTAAAATTTCAAATCGATCCATACAATAGCCACTGAGAAATCCGTCTTCCCAGTTTGGAATAAGTGGTTTCGAGAAAAACGCGTTTAAAGTTTTATAAACACTTTAATCGCACTTCGAGGCGCTGCGGCAAAATCGATAATTGAACCTTTTAACATTTGTTTTTCACTATATCTCACATGACATATTGTTTTGATGACCCTAAAGTATCGTTTAAGCAAAAAAAAAAAAATCGATTTTTTGAAAATCCTAGAGTGGTTTTACCCTTTAATTTCTTCAAACAGAACCTGATATATTTTTGTCCACAATATATAGTATCAATTATTTTAATAAAATATACAACGTTTTAAAAATAGTTCGCGTTGAAAAACTGGAGCATTTTTGTCAAAGGATTACTAACTATAACCCAAATATTCTTTCAGTGGGTGACCTACAGGCGCAGAAAAGAGCTCGAAGTATAGAGGGTTAATAGTAAAGCAGTGATATGTTCATATACTGTACATGCAGGGTGTTTCGAGAATGGCGGTACAAGCGAGCAATGGCGACTCCCCCCAAAAAATAAGTCGAACGTGTGAAATAAAATTTGTTCATATGAGGCATCGTTTTCAAGAAAATCAAGTACAAATGTACTAACTGAAAGTTTTGTCATTATGTGTTTCTGTATTTCTGGAGTATATTACTTGTTTCTTTTTTTTTTTTTTATTGTTCAAAGGACAACACGATGTTTTCCTTTAATTATTTAACACATCTGTCGTCTCTGGAATATTGTTATAATCATGTTGCAGTATTCATGATTGGTGTACCTTGACATCGTTAGAGAACAGAAGAGATTAATAGTATAAATTGAGAGTAAGAATGATAACAGATACAACAAGAAGTAGACAATGATTACCCATGTTTATAAATACAAACACGAGCAGAAGCAGAAGTCCGACATGACGAAACTTACAGTTGGTACATTTTTACTCGAGAGATTCTCAAACTCAATTTTCACGAAAACGATGCAGCGTACAACAAAACTTGATTCCTAACCTTCGACTCATTTTTCCACGAGAAATCACCCACTACTAGATTGTACAACCGTTGCTGGTACGCCCTGTATAGTCTCATCATAGTCGTACAAATGAAAGTGCAAATAAACCTACTATTTCTGTAAACATAGCCACAGCTGATAAGTTTCTTCATACAATACTATTAAACATTATACACACAATATTTTCTATATACACACTTACCAAGTATACTAACATACTGAAATAGAACATCGTAGAGAGATAAGTAAAGGAAGTAAAGGAGTGAAAGAGCTGCAGGAGTCGATGTAGATAGGGAGAGGAGTGGGAGATTAAACGAGCGAGGGAGAGGGAGAGAGAGAGAGAGAGAGAGAGAGAGAAATGTGGTCAGGTTGAAGCAGAGAAGAACTGCGCAGGCCGTACACGCACACACACACACACAAACAGAAAATTCCACCTCCATCGTGCTCACCATACCGATCTCCCGTAGGAGTGAACCGGCCGATAAAATGTGCGAGAACGATAAGTCAGTCACACACGAGAACGCCGAGGAAGAGGACGACATGTTCGAGCAGAATTTACTCGAAGAGGCAGAATGGAAACGCATTCAACAGAACACATTCACGAGATGGGCGAACGAGAAACTGAAGTCAATAAACGAGCACATCGATGACTTGGAGTCGGATTTGTCGGATGGGCTCAGATTGATAAGTCTGATCGAGGTGCTGGCACAGAAGAAACTACCTAAGCACAATCAGAGGCCGACCTTCAGGTCGCAAAAACTGGAGAATGTGGCCGTGGTTTTGAAGTTTTTGGACGACGAGGGGATAAGGATCATTAATATAGGTGAGTGACGTTCTTCTTCTTGCTAAGTATATTCAGTGTTCTGTGATTAAAAAACTGATATTCTTTTCAAAGTAGAGAGACGTGGAAATGGAATATTCGTAGATTTGAACAGTAACTAAATTTAGAAAAATGTATACAAATCATTTGTGTCAATATCAACGTATCAAAGATATATTGCTTTTTTTTAAATTTAATTTTAATATTTAATTGAGTAGAGCTACAGAGTATTGTTTGCATCCAGCATGTATCAGGTGCTCCAAACTCCGAAATTGTTTATTTGAACTAGTTTTCAAGTAGAAATCTATAGCGGTATGCTTAATGTTTTGGGTGTCAATAATTCTTTTAGAAACGGTGGGTTCTGTGATAATTAAATATCTAAATATAAATGTGCTGTAATCGTAAAATTGTACAAAGTGTTAACATAAATCGTTGACACAGGGAATTAATAAAGTATGATAAGACATGGGAATGTTTCGTTTAAATATTTATAGTGAATATCAGAAATGTGACTTGTGCGAAATTTTAAGAAAATTCGTAGAATCTTCTTTCTTTTTACTCGAACTGGACGCGGCACACGTTGCTAGGAAATGGAGCAACTTAGTTTTCACGCGAAAAAACAGACATAAATACGTGCATATTGACAGAAATAAATATAAATATTTAACAGAAATATAAACCGTTAAAATAGAAATTAAACAATGGTATTCGTTTTCTGTTCTGGTGGTCAGCTTATTTGAATAAAATAAATTTCTATTTAGCTTATTTATACAAACTTTTAAGCTTCAGAAATTAAGAGTTTGTAATTTTATATTAACTGATGGTTCTGTAATTTAGTTAAAGTTACAGTTTTTTACCTTCTTTGTGTAATTTTCTAATAAATAAACGAGTTAAACAGACGTTTAAGTTCATATGCTAAATATAGTCATTTTCTCACGTTTCCGTTTCACTGACGTAATTACAGTCAACTTCAATTATCCGAACTGATTGCGGCACACGTTGTTCAGATAATCGAGTGACTTAGTTTTCGCACATAAGAACATATACAAATAAATACGTCGCGATAATATAATTCAAGGCCATTCAATAGAAATTAAATAATTGTTTGTAGTCTCTGTTCATTTATTTAATAATATATTGTTTTGAATCTGAATAATATTAATAAATTACACGGTGTCCCAAAAATGTTGTAACACATTGAAAGGGGTGGTACGGGAGGTGATTTGAAACAACTTTTTCCTTAGCGAAAATGTTGTCCGAGGCTTTGTTGAGGAGATATTAAGAGAAAACCCCGACCAATCAGAGCGCGCGTATACCGGTGGAGCGGCCGCGGTAGCGAAGGCTACCAGCTAAGCGGCCGCGCTTGTACGCGAACAAGTGACTCAACGTGCATCGAAGGCCATTGATGCGGCCGCTAAGCACATAGCCTTCGCTACTGCGGCCGCTCCAACGGTATCCACGCGCTCTGATTGGTCAATGTTTTCCGTTAATATCTCCTCAACGAAGCCTCGGACAACATTTTCGCTAAGGAAAAAGTTGTTTCAAATCACCTCCCGAACCCACCCACTTCAAGGTGTTACAACATTTTTGGGACACCCTGTATATTTTATCTTATTTATATTAATTAACTATATCGTAATCATATCTATCTGATAAATTCGTTTACCTTATTTAATACAACTTACTTAAATATCAAAAATAAAAAATTTATAATTTAAAAATGAATAACTCTTTTTTTTTTAAATTAACGCAGCAATTTTATCTTATCTTTGTGGTTTTGTAAATACTTTTGTACGTCGTCAATTTATTACATTTACTTTTTATTTTTTATATATTGTAATTTATGATATAAATATTCCTTGTCTCTCGTAAATGTAGAAATTTTTATTTTCTCACGTTTTCGTGTCACCGGCATTTCCTCATAGGAAATACAAATTTACCGATAAAATCTGACCTGTAAATGCTACTGAACAAGCTAGGAATTCATGTACACGAAGGACGCACTTGACATGTCGTAGAGGAAGATGAAACGTGTAAGCAAAATGTAAACATTGTGTCGTATAAACACATTGGACATATTTCTTGTTCTTATTTACTTGTCGATATTGTCCTGATAATCGAATGTTCTGTTAATCGATGTTGAAAAATGTTGATCGATGTTGCAATAATCGAATTTCTCGATAATTAGAAGTTGGACAATCGATTGTTTTATTAATTGGTGTTCTGATAATCTTGATTCTAGTGTATTCTTATTTGAAACGTCAGTTTTCAGATCACGTTTTGAATTTAATACAACGAAAAAGTATAAAACGTGAGCATTCGAAATTTGGCATAAGCGTACATTCATGTTTCAAGAAAGTACACACAAATTTTGAGTGCAGTTATCTCGCGTGTTTGCAAGGATATTAACATTTCACGGAAATTGTTATATTAACGAACACCTTGCCAATGACCATGATCTTGACATACGGTGACTGTCATTTGAAACCGTACACCTACTGCTTTTAGTGTCGTGTATTTTCTTACTGATGATGCCATGCGCACATCATCGGAGAATGTGCTCCTGCTCGCATCGATTAAAACTCATATACAGGCACGTAGCTTAAAAATTCATTATTTAATGCGTAACAAAAATATAATAAAAAGTTTAGTAATATTCGGTAAATGGAACGAAATTTGATTTTATGTATTAAATTAACTGCCAGTAAAAATCGTACAAAAGACCTAAGATACAAATTTATAATAATATGTATATAAATAATTAATATTAATACTTTGAAAAATAATGAAATGTATTTTCAATACCGCCTTTACTAGATTTTTTTGTTACACATCAAATGAAGAAATAATGATCTATATGCCTGTTTGTGAGCACTAATTACTTGATAACATTCTCACGTTTTATAGAAAAAAGAAACGAAACAAATTGTGTATTATTCACAGGCCAAAGAGAAAACGTCATTCAATGGTCTTAAAGCTACTTATCAAGAAATTTTATTCTCAATGTAAGAAGTTACTAGTCGATCAAGTGCTTTCACACTAATATTTAAAAAAATTCAAAAAGTGAAGTTAATCGATTTAGTTTCTGAACGGCTTATTGGTCGAACATCGTGCAAATATTTGCCTACTGAGCAAGTTTCGCCTTACATAGACGCACTGACACACAAGAAATGTATTTTCACAGAGTCGCTAAACTGCTGGCTCGGCCTGACTCGGCGTTATCTCCGATACCCGGTCGAGGGTGTTTCAAACGAATAATGAGTTCCAAAAACAGAAAAATAAAAATTCCGTATCTTTTCATTCTCATTACAAAATTATTTTAATTGGGTGAATCATTGGTTTCTTATGAAAATAGTACTACTAGCTCTGTTAACGTAACTGCTGAAGGCATTCTACTGTAATTGCCACCGCTACTAGCAACATTGTTATTTTATAAGCGTTACTAAAAAAAAAACTGACAAATTTTGACTATACTGTTACTTCGATATTTATCGCGAACTTACTGTTTAACTTTGTAGAAATATCGCGATGTATTTACTGACTTTATTCTTCGGTTATAATATAAAGGTGAAAGTGTAGAAAGTTCGACGTGTAAATTACTTTGACCAGTAAAAATCGATGAAAAAACTTTTTTTTTTTTGGATACTCGCAATTATCGATTATCGTGGTGAATTCGACCGTTCACAACTGTTCAGATATAAGTAGCGTCGTCTCCTCTCGATTCGAATGACGCATCGAGAGTGTCAACGATTTTCTCGGCTGCATTTCTTGCCGAGTTTAGACCATAACGTCATTGATTGCTAATCGGTTACGTCATGAGACTCTACACACACGAGAGAATAGTTGGTAGACGACTAACCGTTTCTAGTATCCCAGTTATAAATATTCATTGTTAAGAAAGTTTAAATTCACAAGACACCTATAAGACTTTGTAACAATTTCGCTTTTCTCATTGTATGAGGTGTTTCGTTTAACGCGAAATAGCTTAATGAGGGGATGATGTTATCGAACAAATGTTTCTACAAAAGTTATGTGGTACAAAAGCATTGCAAGGAGTAAATAATTTTTTTCTAAATGAAGTAATGGTGGAGATTTCGAAAAATAAATTAATTCCTTCAAATGGAACGTTACACATTTTTATCCATAATGAGATATAGCATTTGTTTAGACGAGCTCATTTACCTATCACACGAGGTTATTTAGTGTAATGTAAAGTCTTGAATTGAAGTTTGTAGTAGGTAGGTTTAACGCAATCCGCGAGTCGGTTTCAGTTCGGATTTTCGTTAAGTAAACGTTTCCTTAATAAATAATTAGAACCGCACCATTTCCTTTAGAAACTTATAATCTCCGTATGATATATATATTTGCTTCCTGGTTCCAACTGTTATATTGTCGATATTTCCTGTAGATCCCCAGACGAAGCAGTAACCATTAGTTCATTAGTAGAAATAATTCTAACAGATGGCATTTCTATGCATTCAATAAGCGATCTTGTTCATCGCTAATTAATTCGATAAGAAACGATCTTCCGTTAAGTTAATTGTTTTCGAGAAAAATGATTGAATATAGCTATGATTTACACGTGTCCAAGATAGTTTCCTCCCTTAGGGTGTCATGCTCGGTCAGAAGGCTGAATTGTTACGAAAGTTTGATATTTTATTTCTAATAAATGCATTTACATACTTTCATGAAATTAACTGGTGCGACGAAATCTTCGTCAACTACAAGCAGATTGGCTTGAAATTTTCAGAGATCATTTCTATCATCATATGATAAAAAAAAGCTCGAAAATTTCAAGGTTTCTGAGTATGCCTCCGTAAGAGGGTCATCCCGTTCGACGGCCGTTTTTTTTAAGGTCTTCTCGGAATTTTTTATAGCAAAATGAAAAAACACAGAGCTTCCAAATTTGTACTATATATTTATTCAGCCTATAACTGTAACTATGAATTTTTTTAAACAAAAATATAACGTAGATCACGAGATTTATCTGAATAAATATATAGTAAAAATTTGGAAAATCTGTTTTTTTCATTTCGCTATAAAAAATTCCGAGAAGACCTTAAAAAAATCGCCGTCACACGGGATGACCCCCTCAACTCTTTGCGGCACAGGAATTCAGGTCATAAAATAGACCCGTGTTGCGCAGGAATTTTATTGCGTTTTAAATCAAACAAAATTGTTATATTTTTACTAATAAAGGTATCACACCTATACACGTGCAGCTATTGAAAAATTTCGAGGTGGAATTAAAAATGTCCCACCATGCATTACGGTCCATCAAAAAGGTGGGACACTTTTAATTCCACCGTGCCCCAAAGAGTTAAACCAGTGCACGTGTAACGTTGTGAAAGAAAATTAATTTCGAACGAGCACTCTAAACTTCGCTCCATTGTGCAAGTATACATCCGTACATCCGTAGTGTAAGTATGATGGTATCGACGTGTTTTACAGATTCGACGGATATCGTCGATTGCAAAGTGAAATTAATACTTGGTTTGATATGGAGGTTGATCCTTCATTACTCCATTTCGATGCCAATGTGGGAAGAGGAGGACAGCGGGCAACCCGATCACCGCGCAACGCCGAAGCAAAGATTAATGGGTTGGATACAATCGAAACTCCCAGATCTGCCCGTTTCCAACTTCACTTCCGATTGGAACGACGGTCGTGCCGTAGGCGCTCTTGTAGACGCCGTTGCACCAGGTTTGTGTCCAGATTGGCAAAACTGGAATCCCAAGAATGCTGTAAAAAATGCTTCCGAGGCGATGGGATTAGCTGACGATTGGCTGAATATTCCACAGGTTTGTATGTTTTAACGGTATATGCGGTACACAGGCTGGACCACGCAATTTCCACACCTTTATCAGCTCCTAAAGTATGGATTGCATGACAGAATTTTTCGTACAAGAGTTATACAGGGTGCGGCAGAAATAACTCCCACATTTTAAAAAACGATTGAAAAAAAATGGTACGAGATAACACCAGATACTTTTTATTTCTTAAATCTAGATATAAAAAAGTATTTTTTACTTTATGTTTTAAAAATTATGTCGTCCAAATGATGGCCTTTACTGGCGATACACATTTGGAATCGTTCTTGAAAGTTTTATATCACTCTCGCTAGCATTTCGGGGGAAATTCTTTCAATTTCCTCTTGGATGGCCTCCTTTAGTTCATTCAAGGACCAAGGACGATGTTTGAAAATCTCGGTCTTGAGGTATCCCCGCAGAAAAAAGTCACATGAACTTAAATTCGCCGAGCTACGGTCCATACAGGGCGTCGTCAGCGCGAAATGTTGCAGATGGTGTTTCCGGATCGAGTGATTTCTTTACGCGAAAGAATTCCGTGGCCATCGTAGCTCGGCGGATTTAAGTCCATGTGACTTTTTTCTGGGGTGATACCTCAAGACCGAGATTTTCAAATATCGTCCTTGGTCCTTGAATGAATTAAAGGAGGCCATTCAAGAGGAAATTGAAAGAATTTCCCTCGAAATGCTAGCGAGAGTGATGGAAAACTTTCAAGAACGATTCCAAATGTGTATCGCCCGTAAAGGCCACCATTTGGATTACATAATTTTTAAAACATAAAGTAAAAAAAACTTTTGTATATCTAAATTTAAGAAATAAAAAGTATCTGGTGTTATCTCGTAGCACTTTTTTTCAATCGTTTTTTTAAAATGTGGGAGTTATTTCTGCCGCACCCTGTATGGTATAAAGGGACACATTATGCACGCGTTCCTTCTTTAGGTGGAGGCGTTTTGGAGATTTCAAGGTCAATTTCGTTATTTTCAATAGAATCCTATATTTTTTTATGTCTATGTATCCAATCATGTAGAATTCGGAGTAAAGAAGTATCGACCTCTATTAACCGTGAACCCAACATAACAGTATCGTTTCGTTTCTCGACAATTTGTCTCTTGTATGACTTGAGTAGGCGCTGACTTTCCTTACTGCGACGAAAAGTCATCGAGAAGAAATCGTTGAACTTTCCACTATATGAATGCTAAGTGATTTTTCTCAGACCCCGCGTAATTAGAGATGAAAGTTTTCTTTACCTGTACGACAATCTAAGTCTACTATAATTGATAATTAGTTTGTTGCATTGCGCAAGACAATTGAAATACATAGAAAGGATGAGAGTATGTCATACGATCATGGGTCCAGAAATTCTTTCTTTCCGTAATATACGCGCTCCGGTCGAGAAGCATCCGACCTTATTTTTGTCTCGGGAACCATTTAAAGCAGAAAGGTAATACTCGGCTTTATATAGCTGTAAACCTTACTTTACGTACGTGATTTTTTCCAGTTTCCTTGGGTGAGTCAGTCGGCTCTCAGACAGCTCATGCGTGTGGTTATGTAACACAAGCTTGTCGCTTTCTCTGTATTAAGTTTTGCTAAAATATGGGTGATCCCCAAGGTGAAACAATTCGTACATTTCGTTAGACTTTAAGCAGTTGTACTATGAGAACCGCACGAACCAAATAACGACTTAACCGGTTTAACGCTAAACCTACCGAGGTTTCATTTGTACCCATTTTTACTGTGCTCGAGCAAAGTATTTCACGTGGTACTACATTAAATAATGCACGAAACAATTGTAGTCGTGGTAGATTTAGCGTTAAAGATGTCTGAATTTTATTTGAGAATGACAGACATTTCATGACCATGTGCAGTCTAGGTCATCCGTTAAAATCGCATGTACGAAATAATGCACGAAACAATTGTAGTCGTGGTAGATTTCGCGTTGAAGATGACTGAATTTTATTTGAGAACGATAGACATTTCATGACCATGTGCAGTCTAGGTCATCTGTCAAAATCGCATGTACGAACCCGTTACTAGTTACGATGTCATTAGCAGATTTCTCAGGGGGCCAACCGACGGTGTTCCATGATTAAATAGCCTATTTTGTCAGTGACATCTGAATTTCGGCTCGAGATGCACAAAGTGATGCAGTAGCCTTGTTCAGTCATCGTGTTCGAAGCGTAGCTCTGCGATGAGCACATGTTGTACAACTACATACATCAGATACCTGGCAATTACAGAGTCACTCACGAGAGCTGAAAAGGTGACGCATACAGAGTGAGGTGTACTACTGTACGACTGTCGATTTGAAACGGTTTCCGAGAAAAACTATGAGGTCGGTGAGACGTTTTGATCTGACCACGTAAACATGGAATTTCGATAGTGATAAGTCTAGAATTGGAAGTACTATTATCAATTTCTTTGTATCGCAAGAAAACTATAACGGTGCTTAGGTCAACTTAACAGGGACATCAGCGAGCGGTCGTCTGTACAAGTTGATATACACCTCTGCCGATAAACATATGCGAATACTTATTACTAGACTGCGGATCTTTATGAAAAATAAAATCTTCGCGAAAGTGCCTAAAAAAATTGAACCTAAATAGGAATTTATTTTATTCTGCAAATATTATAACATGAACTTTACTTTTAATCTTTTTTATATTCTTGCATATTGTTTGCATTTTGTAGTTTCTTGCGCATTCAAATTTCCTATAAATGCATAAAGATCCGCGGTCTACTTATTACCTTTACTGTCCAACTCAATTGTTTATTTATAAATGAAAAATATCGACTTTACTGCTTTGATCGCACGCTGCAGACCGTCGAGAATACTATTTCAGAGTCACAAGACGATGTTTCCGTAAATATATCGCCGATGTATAAGAATTTTTGTTACGCTTCATAGTATCAAGTGAACAGAAGTTACGGTAGCTAAAAATTGATAGATCTAGTTAGTTAAATATACATTAAGGGTGTTTAGACCCTGTCTGTCGCCACAGCTAAAAGATGTAGGAAAACGATGTAATAATTCAATGATGTAATTTATTTTTTATAGCTTATTAAACCGGAAGAAATGGCCGATCCGAACATAGATGAAATGTCGATGATGACGTATTTGTCTCAGTACCCGAACGCGAAATTGAAGCCAGGCGCACCTCTTCGACCGTCTTCAAATCAAAATAAGTAAGGAAAAACATACAAATATACAATATGCATATATAATATACATATGTAATTTTTTATAACAATTTGTATCGCAGAGTACGCGTTTATGGTCCGGGTATCGAGCCTACTGGCCCAGTCGCAAACGCTCCAGCTAATTTCACCGTCGAAACATTCTCTGCTGGCAAAGGAAATGTCGACGTGATCGTCGAAGACCCTGAAGGAAATAAAGTACCGGTAAAAATAATTTTCTACGATAGATAGATTTGAATTTTGTTATGCTTCTTTGATAGCGAACCTCGGAGATATATTCTACGCGACGCGTGGGCTACTTATTATGATGCGATGTGCATTCACATTTCTCGAGGACCGACTCTTTTATCTTGATATAAATAAACGCACATTTATTATCTTATAGTTTTAACCTTTCGCGGAACAAATTTTATATACATCTTCTTTTATATATTTAATAGAGTACATACAATCCAAAGCAATTTTTATCCATATTTTTATCCTAATTATGATGAGTGAATATTGCTTAGAAGATTAAATATATAAGATCAAGATCACTAAGTTTTATACCTATGTAATAGAAGATACAATAGACGAGTAACTATTTTCAGCAGGAATGGCAACTTCGTTGCACACAGGGCAGCTTTTAAAGCGCATGTGCATATAATTTACTTCCCTTTGTGCATGATACAACGCCTCCGTTAGGCAAGGGTTTCGTGGTGTGTTCTATAAATATAGAACATACATGTACGAGTGGAATCCGCGTGTCTCGTGTCTCTCATGCCTAACAGGAGGACTGAAAAAAAAGATATTCGCCACAATATCCTAAACGTATTCACGTTGTCGGTATTGCTCCGTTGAGTTTGTTTAAGCAAACATTTTGAACAGACTTTTCTCATAATTACACTATATGGTTTTCGGACGATACTGAACGACTATTACTACTTTTTTGTGTAGTGGACTATTTACGAGAACTAACTATCTAGCGTTAAGTTAATACTTTTTTCTAATAAATCGCTAAAAGACGAGGCTTATTCCGCTAACAAAAAAATTATTATTCCTTAATATTCATTAACCTTTCTATTCATATGGTTCGTTTTGTTAAAGGTCGACGTTAGGTTTAACAAAGATAAAAATCTCTCCTACGCCGTGTCGTATACTCCAAGAAATCACGGACCACACAAAGTGAAGATACTGTTCGGTGGAAGGGAAGTTCCAAATAGTCCTTACACGGTCAAAGTAGGCGCACAGGTCGGTGACCCTAGCAAAGTTACAGCAAACGGACCAGGGCTACAACCGGAAGGTGTCGTAGTTAATAAACCCACTTACTTCGACATATTTACGAAAGATGCTGGACGCGGTATTCCTGAAGTTATCATACTCGACCCACAGGTAAAACATTTTCTTAAGTAGTTTCAGTAGCTTTGCAAAGCTGCGAGTCTGGTAATTGTAGAGATTTCTTTCTTAAATTTCGATACGACAATCTTGAAATGTGCATTTCTCGAGAAATGCAAAACAACAAATTGATTTTTTAAAAACATTAAGTTTCGTGCCCCCTTGGAACCGTTTAATCACACAATTATTTAAACGTTATTTGTTTGCAGGGTTCAAAGACGACCGTACCTGTAAAAGTTTATCAAACCTCGCCAGATGTGTGGAGGTGCGAATACACTACCTCCTTTCCGGGTTTACATTCTGTAAATGTATTTTTCGCTCGAAAAGTGACACCTGGAAGTCCTTACGGGGTTAAGGTAGCCCCAGCGTCGGATGCAAAGAAATTCCGAGCTTTCGGACGAGGACTCCTACCGAATGGAGTTCGCGTTAAAGACGACGCAAATTTTGTCATCACTGGGAAGGGTGCTGGCGGTGATGTACCCTGTGTTAAAGTTATTGCTCCTGGCGGCGTTAACTGCCCGGTACAGTAAGTAATCTCACACTTTTATGCGACTATTGGACAAGGGTGAACTCGTTGAAAGGAAGTACGCTTAATTAGAAGATAACAAACATTGATAAATGAACACTTACATACGGAACAAGGGAATAAGATTGTACGACTCGATCCACAATAAGATTATGCGAGAGTGCATGTATTTTATTAATACGAACGGTATTGATAAAAACATGTGAACATTGAAACATTTGCTTGTATTTAGCTGTTTGCAGTTGCTATATTACCTGAATAGCGAGTTTACTCCTTGTTTAGAGAAATTGCACTTAGAAAAACCAAATAATTGAATATTGCGACGCTTGTAGGATCTCTAAAGTTGACCCGCAAACGTACAAGTGCACCTATACACCGATCAAAGAAGGACGACATGTGGTAATGATAACGTCCGGCGGAAAAGAAATTTACAAATCGCCCTTTGAAGTGAACGTTGGCCCCTACAAGGAATCGGCGATCAGAGCTTTCGGTCCCGGCCTTCATACCGGAATAGTCGACCATGTAGCGAAATTCACGGTGGATACGAACGGCGAAACCGGTGGTCTCGGATTTTCGATCGAAGGACCTTCGAAAGCAAAGATTGATTGCCACGACAACGGAGATGGAACGGCGGACGTGTTATATCTACCAACTGCTGTAGGGCAATACGCAGTCCACATACTTTGCGACAACGAAGATATACCGAAGTCACCGTACGTCGCAAACATTTTGCCAAAAACTGACTTCGATCCAAACAAGGTTCGAAATTCTTCTTACAGTTGTGCGTGTTTAACACTAAAGCTACCAAGACGGTCAATTTGACCCATACACTTCAAACTTTTCAAAATCACTCAATCACCAACAATGACTTTACTTACCAAAATTTGGGGATAATGTATTGTAATAGAAAATCAATTGACCACGGTAGCTTTAGTATTAAATGATAAGGTGTAAACAAAGAGTGTTGGAAAGAGTAGCAACAGTGTGTTATCAGTGTGAAATTTAATTAAAAAGGAAGACAAGATTGAGACAGTTTGAATGATAGTCAATAGTTTCTTAACTTCGTTTAAATTTGATTCATATTATTAATTTAGATCAATAAATCTATCTGTTGGTTTAACGATCCTCTACAACATCATGAAAGCTTATAAGAGAGAAATGATCGAATATAATTTTCAGGTTGAAGTGTACGGGCCAGGAGTTCAAGCAGAATCTATTCCCAATGATAAACCAACAAATTTCACAGTAGACGCAAGGAAGGCTGGTCAGGCACCTTTGGAAGTCGCTATTCAAGATGCTCTTGGAAGAAATGTTCCTGTTCGACTAGACGCTACTCAGAATGGAACAGTGCAATGTCAATATACCCCGAAATCTGGATCGCGACATATTATCATGGTCAGATAACTAGAATTACCTTGTTTCTATTTTAACTCTATGCAAACTGAACTGTCATGCGGAGGGTTGACGTGTCTTTTCGATCCCACCTCGATTATTCATAATTAAAATAAATGTTATCCAACTTAGGAAACATAATGTAATACAATTTTGTTGAACGTGATTCGATAGCTTTGAAGATTTGGAGGAATTTTATTGTTGAAAAATTATCTTTCATCTTCATGTCGTATTAATCGTATTTTTGTTATTATTTTTAGGTAAATTACGGCGGCGTAGCTACAAAGGACTCCCCCTATAGGGTGAAAGTAGAGGCACCATTAAATCCTGCTATGGTATATGCCTTCGGGCCTGGTCTTGAAAAAGGGGTGAAGTCGAACATAGCCACACACTTCAACATCGATTGTCGCGAAGCGGGTCCTGGCGAGCTTCGCGTTAATATCATAAATCCGGAGGGGAAAGACATTCCCTTACAGTTGACTGACAACGAGGACGGCACGTACACGGTTGATTATTCTACAACTAAACCAGGAAATTACTTGGTAAATCTGAACTATGGTGGACTGAAAGTACCTCAGTGTCCCATTAAAGTCAACGTTCAACCTCATATAGATGTCTCGAAAATCAAAGTGGAGGGCCTTGCAGAAAGTAAGTAAAAAATTATTTTCTGTACTTTTCATGTAAATGATTTATCGAACATAAATGTAATGCAGGCTTCATCTTTTTGAAAAAAAAACTTGACAAGAAAGTTTTTCACTCATGGTTTCATGAGATATTTTTTGCAGTAGAAATGTTGAAATAATTTAGAGAAATAATCGTTTTTATTTAGATTTCAGAAGAAGTCATTCGTTCGATTCGATTTTAACGACGAAATGAACACATAAAACGAATTTATTTCTAATTTAATTCTAGACGACGTTTCAGCTTAATTTGAACGGAGCTGAAACATCGTCGTAAGATAGCATATACACTTAAATACGCTGAAGACGTATTACTGTTTATAATTGTTGTCCGACCTAACAATTAAATTCATTACACTAGGGTTGATTAGAAAATGTTCACGAATATTTGGAACATGATCATCGATATTATGGCATATTTTCTGTGTAGTGATTTGGGGTACTCGCTGTATATTTTACATAATCCATTTGAAAGGAAAGGAAATGTCCTAGCCGAATGTGTTTCGTCGACGGCAACCATTTATCAACACTATGAAATCGCCATTTTTCATAAAACATTTTCAACTACGTTTCACGAGCAACATATTCCATATCCGTATAATATTCCTCTTTACACAAAACCATTTTTGATACACACTTTTTTGGATAGCTCATCCCCCTCGTGAGATCTGACCATTCCACTTCAAACAAAACACCGTGACATATCACAGAACACTGCAACATATACTTTGTATTAATATGCTACCCTCATACGCGAGTATGATGCAGGTATATTCTGGCAAATCATACTTAAAGAAAAAGCGATCGTGCCAATACTCTTTGTATCCACTGTATATTGCTTAATGCAACAAGAGAATCGGGCACCTAACGACTACATTATGCTTATTTTCTTTCATGCGTGATACACCATAAACTGAGAAGAGAAACATAACAAATCAGAAACTAAATCCGTCTCGCAGCGGCTCCGGTGAACAGCTTGCAGCAGTTCCGCGTAATAACTCAGGACGCGGGGGAAGCGGCGGACCTGCAGGTGGCAATAACGGCTCCTTCCGGAAACCGTGTAAAGGTCCATGTCGTGCCGACCCACGATGGTTACCGAGTCAACTTCACCCCGACAGAGCTTGGCGAATATCTATTGGGAATCAGTTTCGCTGGAGAACCGATATCGAATCAATCTTATCGTATGACCTGCGTCCACGGCTCCGACCCTGAAAAGGTTCGGGCATCTGGACCGGGATTGTCCCACGGAATAATAAATAAACCAGCCGAATTTGTAATCGATACTCGTGGAGCTGGACAGGGTGGTCTCGGTGTCACCGTCGAAGGTCCTTGCGAGGCTGCCATTAATTGTCGCGACAATGGCGATGGGACGTGCTCAGTGGCGTATCTGCCGACAGAGATCGGCGATTACGGCATCAATATCACATTTAACGAGAAACATATTCCCGGATCACCTTTCCAGGCTATTATTGCGAAGGATACGGATTTGTCGAAGATCAAAGTCACCGGGGATGGCATTCAACCACACGGTACCGTCGATCGTGTTACTGTGAGGTTTTGCTTTGATTGACGTATTTTGTATTTTGCATTTCGTGTACAGTGTCGATATCGTATCGGTGAATTGGATGAAGTATAACTCGAGAACAGTTCAAGGTGATCGCGTTATTTATTCTCGAGATAGAGATCAACTCGTTGAATTTGCTTAAATATATTATCGCGAAGTTAATCCAAATTTGTCGATATACTAAACAGTACTAATACCTCCGAGTGGAGAATCCGTTTAAACTTTAAATAAACATACTCTACCCATAAACATTGGGAATAGATTATTTATAGTATTCTTAATCAAATGTGATTGTGTAATAAGTTTATCTTCACATTTACAATGAACGATAATATATTTGTTATGCTTGTACCAATTCGCTATTTAAATTCAAAATTTTGTACAAATTTAAATGCTTTCATCCAATTCATTTTCAACATATTATAGAAAGGATCTAGTAGGATAAGGATAGGCAATCGGCCCTCACCCCAATTTTCATTGCTATTATGTGCCGTGCAATGCTTTTCATCTAAAACCCCCCTGTTTAAGGGTAATATGATAGTAAACACCCTTAACTTTATTATTGTTTTTCTCGGTTACTATTTCGAATATTTAAATTCTGCAAAAACGAAAATATTCGTAGTACTTATAAACTGCATCTCATGTATTTTTTCCGGGTATTTTTTTAATTATTAAGGGTAGAAAATAAATAATGTATTTTTTGCTGATGGTAACTGCAAACAACCCTGTGAGGGACACCTACCGAAACAATGAGGAATGATGATTGATTATTTAGCTGACACATGTAAAAGTTTCAGAATGATCGGAGTCCTGGAACATGGTTAAATAATTAAAAAGAAACAAAAATCCCATGCGTTACGCCCCGTGCAATGGGCTGAAGGAGAATGAGACAATGTATGTCAGACACACTACGCGTATCGTTACAACTATGCATACGACAGTGAGGCAATCAGTTTCAACAATTTTGTAATTGATATCATAAAATTTTCCTTAAAAGTATTCTATTTATTATTTCTTAAACGATATCTAGACATTGTTTACAAACACGCGCTGTGCGTCGCTCGATGGATTCTAACTTAGTTGTAAGTAATTAAAAAGAAACAAAACTGGCAATATGAAACGAACTAAATGTCACGCGAAGGTCAACATATTGAATCTCGATTGATTAATTTTTTTATAAGCTATTAGACTGTGTAGTGAAAATATGCAGTCCCTGTCGTATGTATAGCTGTAACGATTCCCGTAGTGTGTCTGACATTATCTCATTCTCCTTTAGCCGTACGATTTGCGTAGCGTGTCTGACCAGTATCTCATTCTACTTCAGCCCATCGGACGGAGCCTAACACATAGGATTTTTGTTTCTTTTTAATTATTTAACCATGTTCCAGAACTTCGACCCTTTTGAAACTTTCACAAGTGTCAGCTAAATAACCGATCGTCATTCCTCATTGTTTCGGTAGGTGTCCCTCACAGGGTTGTTTGCAATTACCACCCGCAAAATATATATATTATATATTTATTTCCCTTAACAATTAAAAAAATACCCGGAAAAAATATATGAGATGCAGTTTATAAGTACGAATATTTTCGTTTTTGCAGAATTTAAATATCTGAAATAGTAACCGAGAAAAACAATAATAAAGTTAAGGGTGTTTACTATCATATTACCCTTAAACAGGGGGGTTTTAGATGAAAAGCATTGTACGGCACATAATAACAATGAAAATGGGGGTGGGAGCCGATTGCCTATCCTTATCCTGCTAGATCCTTTATTTATCAGCATAGGTATCTCGATAGTTATTTTTAGACAAGATATAATTCAAGAATAAGTGACATTCGAAACTATTCTGTTATTATATCAACATTCTAGGGTTGAATATTTGAACGTAATCGAGATACCAAGGCAAACTGCACGATGCATGAGTACGATGTTCCTTATTTTGTACTATTATTCTATAAAGGTAATGCCCTTTAAAATACATCGAAATGATCGTTGCATAAGTCCCAATAATTATCGGAGACCGTTCGCAATTTAGTGTTGTCCGTCATGAGCTACGAGAGTTTGTAAATAAGTTATCGGATTTGAAAAAAAAAAAACTTGTGCAAACTGGAAAGCTAATACGTGTAATTAGATACATCAACAGGGAAAGACAAAGACGCATTTGGTCATGGAATCTATCGAATTATTTTAGAAGAAAATATTACCGTTACAAGAAAGACTTACAAATCTGATTAGGTGGCTGAATTGGTTATAAATAAAGACGTTTTTTTTGCTTAAAAAATTCACAATCTGCACTAGACAATTTAACCCTTTGGAGTTAATTATGGGTTTGTGACCGGATTCACTTTATACATACAATTTTCATACATAAAAGGGTGTCTTTTGCGATATGTTGTTGAAATTAAAGGTTCATATATTTGTAGTACATAATATTTCGTAAAAAAATCGTATATGTGCAAGTTTGGTTCGCGTAAACTATTAGTAGGTATTGTTTAGTGCCGCGGTAGATAATATAAACGTGTACCGCAAGTTTAGTATCAGCTGTTCGAACATCATGATTGGAAGAGTCACAAATGTTACATGTTTTACTGTGTTCGTTTGGCTTACCATGCAGAACATTGTCCATGTCCTGATAATATTTCTAGATTGTGAATTATCTATTATCCACGCTGTCAAAGAATTCATACGTGCTTGAGTCACCTTCATGCCAATACACGACAATACAATGTATAATCTGTACTGCCGAAAAATTCGTGCGCGCGTCTTCCGGTTGTAGTCTCTGACCATTATGCATGTCTCCACGATGTCTCTTTATTTGTGCCTGGTGTTGTTTTATGAAGTGTACCCATCCAAAACCAATACATTACCAACACTGATAATCACAGAACAGTTGGTGTTAACGACTAACAACTAACGAATTACGTCGTCAGAAGATCGAATAAGAAACGTCTTATTATAAATCATACATGCACGATTTGAAATAGTAAGAGCAAATGATTTCAAGTTAATGCATTAGTAGACGATCCCTACTACATTCAAAAAGTCATAATATACAGGATGGAGTAATAACATTGCCTAGCTTGTATATCTTCGTTATTTATGGTCTTATGAAGAAACTTATCAGAACAAAGTTGCACTGTTTTGAGAAGCATTTATAATGGTAGAACATAATTTTTTCCAGAATCGTTTGTCTTATAAGACGATTTCAAGAAACGCGGATGATCTTGAAATCTCATAAAAACAGTGACACTGGCAAACATTATTTTTTTTATCCTTATAAGAGCCCCACAAGACAGTACAACTTCGGCCAGGCTACTATCCCTAGTAGTGATATTGACACTACTTGACTGAGATCTACTATCTCCACTTACAGACTCCTATGACTCCTCTACTCTATTTATATAATCTCTTTGCCTCTTCCACCGCCAAGAATTCATTTATAAAGAAGAAGTAGTAGGTGTGACTATCAAGAGGAATTATTAATATACATTTTGTTGGCTATTTTCCTTATCGCAAAGGAAAGTATCCTCTACACATTCATGCAAAAGGCTCTAATCATTTCTCGAAAATTGTTACTTTCATAAAGAGCTGAAATGTTTTAAGCGCCAATTAGCGAGTTAAAAGCAATGACTCGAATAACTGACCTCGTTGGCTATCCGTAGTTATAGCACTGTTTTTACTGTTTAATAAACAAGTAACATCACATTGATTAACAAATTGATAAAAATCAACGTACAGCTGGAGGTCTGGCTCTCTTACTCTATCTATAATATCTCCATACATCTACTACAGCTTCTCACGAACTGTTAATTCTTTACACACTATGCAAGTGTGCGTCGCAGCTCCTCGCAAAGGAGCGCAAAGGGTTAACACTTTACTCGACGAAGTCTATGCGAGATCATGCACCGAATCGAACGTGTTAAGCGTGAAACAGTAAATGTTCGCTATATTATTACATAATAAAACTTCTACATATTACTGATTTTATGCAAGTTGTAACGAGTTGCTATAGTTATCGTTTGCCTAAATTATTACTTTATTGATTTTGGCGAGGAATAATAGCATTAAAACAAACTCAACCCCTTGCTCTACCATTTACTCATTTCATATATTGTTGTAGGCCAAGGGGTTAAGAATCTATCAACCCCTACGATGCAACTTGTTAAATACACTTTTCTACGTAATTATTAAATTACGCGTCATAAACCTACGCGAAAGTTAAATTTGGAATTGTTTGTAACTTTCAGGTCCGTGTTTGTATCAAGAAACAGGATTTACCATTGACACCCGAGAAATTGGGAGTACGGGCAACGACGATAACACGGTTTCCTGCGTAATCAAGGATCCCAGCGGCAATAAAATTGGAAAAATGATTGTTCCCGTAGGAGATGGAATCTATAACGTTAGTTATACACCGTTCGAGGAAGGGCCTCATACTATAGAAATACTGTACGAAAATGTTCCCGTTCCCGGTTCACCGTTCACTGTTAACGTTCGATACGTTAGCGATCCCAGAAAATGTACAGCGTATGGGCCAGGATTACAAAAGGGATACGTTGACAGGCCCAACACATTCACCATCGAATCGAAAGGTAAGTACTCGAAACTTCGAGTAATTGAAATTTTCATTACTCTGAAATTGATTAAAGGAATGAATTTAACAATGAAATGTCGACATTGTCTGTGAAAAGCAATACATTTGTAATGATCATTCGTCGTTTGTCATGGTCAGATGCTGGTAAGGGCGGTATAGATCTATCCATGGACGGTGCCTCTCAAGTGAACATGACTTGCAAGGACAATTACGATGGATCCTGCACCGTTGTATACATTCCATCGCAACCAGGTGACTATGAAGTCTCCATAAAATTCGCGAAACAACACATTCCCGGGTCTCCTTTCCACGTCCCGGTTGTAAACGAACCAGAGACGAGCAAACCTGGAACTGGACCAGAAACATTGCGAGAAAATGTACCAGAAACTCGTCAAAAACCAAACCTCCAGTCTCCTGTGGAACCAAGTAAAGTCGTTCTATCGGGACTTGGGGTTGCGCCAGTATGCACTGCTTCTTTCCCTGTCGATTTCGTAGTGGATACTTCCAAAGCTGGCTACGGTGATCTCGAAGTACAAGTTCTGGTAAGTGAACAACGACGCTATGACTCGTTTCAAAATGGCTTATTTTGTCATTGTTTACAATTCATTATTTCACCGACATAACGAAGAGACAAGGTCGTCTGTAATCTTATAACCAGACTGCGGATTTTGTACATTTATGGTATAAACTAATGTAATAAATACATTCTAAACATAAACAAAAGGTATGTGCACTTACCCTAATGAAATAACGATACTATTATATTAATTGTAGAATGTATTTAACATATATTTTATATGTTTTTTTGTATTTTTTTTTTGTGTGTGTATTACGGTACATCATAAATGCATAAAATCCACAGTCTACTTATAACATTCTTATAAGTAGTTCATTACACAAATCGATTAACTCCGTAAAACATGAAGTTGAGAAATCCGATGAAATGGGCCCTGAAATAAATTATTTATTATTCAATGGCTTATGTCATCTGATCGATAATGATCGTCGTTAACAATGCTTGTTTCCAGGGTCCCGATAAAATTCCCCGAAAAGTTGAGATTCAAGATCTGGGAGACGGAAAATACAAGGCAACGTATTTGCCTGACGATTGCGGCCGTTACAAGGTGAACGTGAAGTACGGAGGAAAAGAGGTGCCGAGTTGTCCAGTAAACGTCCAGAGTGTCTCCACTGGAAAAGCTGAAAAATGTAAAATCAAAGAAGGCATTCAACACTCTTTGGCTCAAGGTGAGAAGTATTGCATCACCGTGGACACTGAAAATGCCGGGCGTGGCGCAGTCACCTGTCGTATACGTTCCACTTCTGGAAGGTAAGCAAACTCTTTGTTCAAGATTTTCGAGTAAAGTAATCGCTTTCAGGCGATTTCATACAATTTTTACGCTTTGAGTTTATGTTCGCGTTTATGTAAAGTTGCGAGCAACTTACCGATTCGCGACCCTTTGGGGGGTATTCTTTTTTTGGGGGGGAGTGTCGACTTTTTGTATATTCTTATCACTTAAGATCTTTAAACTATTTTCATTAGATTATATTAACCTGTTGAAGGATATTGATACATATGTGTACGTTTGCTTTTATGTTAAAATTACCGTTATTTACGAGCACAATACCTTTTAGAATTAAAAAATATACAATATAGTGAGTAATCAATATAGTGAGACAGAATATATTCTATATACTCTATGCTGTTGCTATGCTTTAAATAAAATATATTATCAAACATTTTTGTAGTAAAAAAATCAAAAATCGAAACTGGTAAAAAAATAAGAATACCCCTTTAACTTAGTTGCAGCGTAACATAGGATTGGAGAGTGTCGATTTCTATTTCATATCGGCCTCATTTATTTTGTCATCGCTTTGTAAAAACTTTACCACGAATATACGATATTCGTGTATATACAAATTATATAGAAAACAAACATCTTAAGTGAAACAGATGGAATGCTATGTTAAAAATCATTTCCATCTGTGTTTTGTTGTGGTCAAAATATTGTATATCACGGAGATGGTGTTTCAGTTTTCGGAGATTTGTCCGGAAAATCAATGAAGCAAGGTTGTTCAGTATTTTCGGAGATATCTGAACAAGTTCCATTTAAATGATGTTTACTCGCAATTGGTGGGGAAGATTGATTATTTTGTGCATTTTCAGGAATTACTACTTGAGAAGTGTATGGAAGACTTATGTGGAGTAATGGTGTCGGAATATTCTGTTCTTGTGAGAAGTTGTGCGAAATATTGTTGGAATTAGGTGAAAATTGCTTCGTGGCTCTATTCCGTTTTATTTGCCTGAATACATCAAGGATTTGTATTTTTGCTTGAAATTTTTCATCTTCTGTTAATGATCGCAATGTTGGAACAAGGGAAAGGACAAAATTAGTATCCTCGTCCACTTCTTTCTGTAAAATATTAAGTAGTGCTTCCTCGAAATTTGTGCTCTTCTTCTTCTTTAGATTAATGGAGCCATTCTTGTACTGCGACGTAGAAGGTTTCGAACAAACATTGGACTCTTGGCTCCCAGAATCTTGACTTTCAAATTCTTCATCCAGAATAATTTGAGAATCCACGTTGTGTTCGATAGTTCTGTGTTTTATGGATGGCAAAAGAAAGAGTAGTTGGTCATAGTACATGTATTTCCGTCGTCTATTTGAGATTCTCCCTGATTTATCTGTCTTCTGCAATTTTAATTCTCTGGTAAAACAAGACCTCAGGTTCATCCACTTTTTCTGCACTTCTAGTCCTATATATAGTAATAATTAATAGGGGCAACTGTATCACAATAATTTCCAACATGTATCAATTCTTACTTGGCGCAGTTAAAAATGACAATTATTGAGAAGGAATTTGATGAATTTAATTAAAAGTGAAAAGTTAATATTTGACATTTTATTTTCTTTTGATTTAAATCACTTACCATATTTCATTTTATTCTCTGCGCTAAGTTCTGTCCAGTTAGGAACTATTTCAGTACACACCTCCTCCCATAATTTCTTTTTTAGATTTATATCTGTATACTCTTTTGAATCCTTCATATATAGTAAAGGTCGCTGTTTTATTAACTCGATAAATGTATCCACATTACTTATCGTCATTAAAGACGCCATTATAGTCACAACAAAAAGAACTACACGATTCCACTGTTTCGATACGACTTATAAGTAATTGCTCGATTTTTTTGTCAGAGAGTAGTCGCATACCACCAGTAGGCGATTTACGCGCGCTACTTTGAGGTACTAGAGGCCCATAATTGCAGTCGTGCGACAGTTGCGTGTTGTAGCCAGAACCTCAAATCTCACGACTTATACACGACTCGACTGCCAGCGTGCGAGTCGATATACTAGAGACACAACAATCGCTGCGTCCAGCAGTCGCGCGATAGTTGCAGTGAGAAGGGGTAATACTTGGTCACGTGACAGCTTCGTCCAACACTATTCTGAATATTAAGTAAATGCTCTACCTGTCTCGAGTCACGCGTAAATCGCCTCATTTGAACAAGATCTAGCTGGGGTCCCATGAAAATGACTGACATAGACTTTATCGACGCAGATTTTATCGACGTGCACTTTATCGACGTACACTTTATCGATGCAAATCTTATCAAAACCAATATTAACTGCATGGATACTAATACTTATAATTAGACTGCGGATCTTTATGCAAAATAAAATCTTCGCGAAAGTGCCTACAAAAATTGAACCTAAATAGGAATTTATTTTATTCTGCAAATATTATAACATGAACTTTACTTTCAATATTTTTTATATCTTTGCATGTTGTTTTCATTTTGTAGGTTCTTGCACATTCAAATTTCCTATAAATGCATGAAGATCCGCAGTATATCCATAATAATAGATAAATCTTTAAATTAAACGCTTTGTATTTCTTCAAAAATTTTTCAAATTTGTCAATATCGGTGTCGGTGCATTCTGTATCGGTCATTTTTATGGGACGCTTTTGAACTGTCTCGTTGAATCATGGTGCATTTGATGAGGGTGTCCCAAAAATGTTGTAACACCTTGAAATGGGTGGTTCGGGAGTTTTGAAACAACTTTTTCCTTAGCGAAAATGTTGTCCGAGATATTAAGAGAAAACCCCGACCAATCAGAGCGCGCGTATACCGTTAGAGCGGCCGCGGTAGCGAAGGCTATGTGCTAAGCGGCCGCGCTCGTACGCGACAAGTAACTCGACGCGTCTCGTAGGCATTGAGCTCTATCTTAACTGGAGTGTGAACTGCGAGAGAGAAGCCGGTCCGAGAGAGATACAAGATGAGTGGTTCCGGTGGTACTATCCTATAGCAAATTTATGTGTGGAGGGAGAACAGACTCCTCTTTGTTTGAATTTCGCGGCACTCTAGGAATTATTTACAGATTAATTATGTACAGATTTGAACTTTATTTCCTTTTTATTTATATATAAAACGATAGAAACATTAACAATAATGACATAATAATGAAATAGTATACATAATTTACATACCATAATTTAGATCATACAAATATATACAATTTGGTATAGAGCTAAATTTTATTATTTGTTACAATTCAATTTATATTGTATTTATCCAATTTTATGCGGAAAAGAATCTGAAAGTAACTCACTCGACAATGCTCAGCGATGTTTGGGTAGGTTATGTTACAGCGTACGTTTGTTCCCCCTCTACAAATAAATTTGCTATAGGATAATACCGAAACCGCCCATTTTGCATTTCTCTCGGACACTTCGTCGCCTCTACTTCTTCGTACAGTTGTTCACACTCCAGTTAGGATAGAGCTCAATGATCGAAGGACATTAGACGCGGCCGCCTAGCGCGTAGCCTTCGCTACAACGGCCGCTCCAACGGTATACGCGCGCTGTGATTGGTCGGGGTTTTCTCTTAATATCTCTTTAACGAAGCCTCGGACAATATTTTCGCAAAGGAAAAAGTTGTTTCAAATCACCTCACGAACCACCTCTTTCAAGGTGTTACAACATTTTTGGGACACCCTGTATACAAGTTTTCATCTTGGCTTTCACCATGTCGACTAAGGCTGGGAATGTACCGTAGACTTTTCGTCGCGCGATAGTCTGGAGAGATGGTAAAAGGTATTGTCTTATGGTGGAAGAGCGGTGGATCAAGTATGCGAGCGCTCTCACATAGGCAGATGCCTTACCGCCTCAACCTAGTGATCCCAGAAACGAGCCCTGGACCGACGGTGGCGCGTTCTACCTCACAATTCTCGTGCCACGGAAAATCGATAGTACGTTATCAGCCGAGAAAAAGTCGATATCATTCGGTACTACCGAATCAGTAGATTGTGGCGCACAAGTAACTTCCAGATCATTTCGATCGTTTCGACCAGTTTCTCTGACTTGGACAGTAACGACAGAAACAAATTCGAAATTTTAAATGAACAAAAATTAAGATTGTAATTTATTTTCTAGGTTTAATATTGGTATTAACACTATACTTACAGAGATTTCTTATTAGATTTCTGTTACTAAAGTAATGCTGCAATAAGCCAAGTCAATTTATTAAAATTAATTAGGAGGCTTGAACAAAAATGATTTTGGATATATGCTTGCCCTTTTATGCGGATACAAGTCAGCATAAATGGCTGGCAAAAAATATAAACAAAACACATTTACAGTAAATTAATTTTTAATTTTTTCATTAAATTCACTCAATGGCTTCATCGATCAATGAAACCTATATTTCTTATTTATATATTGTTATATCTTGCACACATTGCATATTTTCATTATTTCATATGCATGTTAAGAAATTATTGATTTTGAAGTTCTTATTATTCTATGCACGTGCATAATTTTTGTATCTAGCCGAAAAAGCCTCATTTCATTTATTTATAAGGGTACGGAGTTTTCTATGCGACTATAATACCTTCTATATCAGTCTTCCATTAAAATGTTTTACATAGTCCTTTCTTCAATATTCATTAAATTCTTTCGTTTTTCCATTGCTTTACATTCTCTGACATCCCCATTAGGGGGCCCACTGACCCCTCTATAGCTCGGGTACCTCGGGATCGCTAAACCCGTACTGTAGCTACAATCAAACATAGCTACAGCCCCTGAGGTCTAGAAAAGGCTTTCCTGACATATTTTTCTCAGAAGCATCCACAATAATTAGTTTAATGACTAGATTTCAAAAAGTGAACTTAAATAGGAATTTATAGGGGTGTGCGAGATTCCCGAAAATATTCGGGATTCCCGTAAAATGTCCGGGACTCCCGCAAAAATCCGGGATTCCCGAGAATGTACGGGATCTCGAAAATGTTCGGGATTCCCAACAATGTACGGGATATAGAATAATATCTGGGATTTCCGAAAGTGTTGTTATTCTTGAAAATTTCAGTAATCCGAATGTACGGTATTTCGAAATTCCCGGGAATCCTGAACATTTACGGGATCTCGAAATTTTCGGGAATCCCGAATGGTTTCGGGATCCCGGAGATTCACGGGAATCCCGGATGTATTCGGGATTCTGAAATTCTTGGGATTCCATCCCGATCCCGGAAGGAATTCCTGTCCCGACCTGGATCCTGCACACCTCTAGGAATTTATTTTACTCTGGAAATATTACAATATGAATTTTACTTTCAATATTTTTTTCTATTATTGCATATTGTGTTCACTTTGTAGTTTCCTGCGCATTCTATGAATGCATAAAAATTCGCAGCCTAGTAATAACGATGTAAGGAATATTTTTATATATATGTTTAATATTTCTGTTCAGTGAAGTTGTAGATATCGACATCGAGGATAACGGGGATGGCACAGTCAACATTTACTATACAGTTGCGGATGCTGGTGACTACACTCTTAGCATCAAATTTGGTGGCCAACCAATACCAGACGGATTTTACACTTTCACGGTAAGTGTTTACGCTTTTTTTTTTTATTTGCAACAGTATTTGGTATATTTTAAAGACCTTAAGTAACAAGAATACAAAAACAAAATACCTATTTTCTGACCAAAAATAAAAGAGTGCATTTTCGTTAATTTTTTGCTTTCCAACTACCAGCACTGCTGGCATAACTACTGAAGGTGTTCTAGTCCAACTGCCAACGCTATTGGCAACACTATTATTTTCTGAACATTAACAGGACTGATAAATTTAGACCGTACCGTTACCGTGATTTCTAAAGTTTGAATTCACATTAGTAATTAACGTTCTCAAAAACTCTTGAATTTCAACTTTCAAATCGAGTCATTTCTCACATTTTGTTTCGCCATTTTTGAATCCGCCGTGTAATATTTCTATACATGCAATTATCTTAGAAAAAAAAAAAAAAAACTTTTATACTATACAAATACTTTTTTGATACACCGCATCTCTGTTCGAAAGACATTCAGGGAAAACTTGAAGACATGTTTCTGATATAATTGACGGTTCAGCAATCGATTGAGCCTACTTGGAATTCTATTCATGCAAGCATTGCAGAGGTACGATAATTTGACCCCGACTTGACTAGTGCTTCGTGTAAATATACACAGCCTGCCACGCCACCCGAGCATGAACTTGGCGCGAGATGCGCCTCTGCCTCCCTCGATGTAATTAATTAATATTTTTTACCTTTTGTCAAATATCTTTCAACATCCCATACCGTTTCGATTAGATTCAAATTCGGAGACTGGGATGCCTACTTCATTAACTGAATGTCGTTGTCGTATTTTTATATAAAATGTGAATAACTGTAATACAAATTAAAAAATCTATATAAATGTCTACTTGTTTAAAATTGTTCTCAGTATACGGATACTCGCTTTTATTTAATCTTTATACGTTCAGTAATAGATATTAAACAACAATCATCTTTTACATTTACGTAAGTGTGGATAGAATTTTAAAAACTAGTGTTTCATCTCCGTCTCATTGATTAAAAACATATAGTCGTGTCTTGGAATTTACGTATACCTTTTATCACAAATTACTTTCACGAAAGGAATAAAATGATGCAATTACGTATATAAATATATTATCAAATAAAATTTTTTTTTGTTTTATCAACAATCTTGAATTTTATGCGTGCGTATATATTATATATTAATTCCTTCTAAATAATAGTTATGAACTTTTTTGATCAAATATGCCTATAATAGAATACCATATACTTTTGATACATTGGGAAATCGAAAAATGGATATAACAGAATTGTAAAATATAAAATATCGATAACAAGGCACTCGTTCTTTCCTGATTATTACGTACTAATCGCATGCATAAATACCTTCTAATCAATACAGTGGTATTATGTGCATCCGATTACATGTAATAATTATATTAAACTATCTTCATAAAATAAAGAACAGTTTAAGCACTGCTGATAACAGAAGACAAGCTGGAAAGGCTTGTGCGAGTCTATTGCACGATCCAGATTGAAATCTAATACGCATCTTGTTCTCCGTGGAGGCCCCTTAGACTATTTCGAGTGTATGTCAGGCTTTCCCAAATTTATAAGCAGAATCATTCGAAGTAGGCGGAGGGCAATGGACGAGCATTAAATTAATGCAAATTGTGTAAATTTTATGCGACTACTTCTTCTTTTATGCCTTGTACCGTATAGCTTGGCAAGAAATAATTTATCAATAAATAAGCTACATCAGGACAAAATAAAAATGAATAATGTTTTTTAGTATTATTCTAACAGTTGATATTGCAAGTTGTTCACATAGATCATCGTATTTGTCTTGTGTAATGGAAACATAACTCGTATTCTCAAACGAAATGTTAGACAAAATTGTGCCCAAGAGCGTCTTTAGCTACCGCACTCGGCATTTGAAAGACAGTCGTGTTTCTTTTTTCTCTATCATTATCCAAGAATCTCAGTAATTTGAATTTGTTGGCAACCGTATTAAATCGCTCGTATCATACAGTACGCAAATATACGAGCTGTATCGCTCTCTTGTAATGTTTTGCCCGGCGATTTATTGTCTGAATGTTTGGATTCTTCATCTATGTAAGTTCTATATATTACAATCGCCTTATAATTCATCCGAGCGTCTCAAACAGGTTATATATTAAACATTAAAACGACTTTGTTTTACAACATTGCTACTTATAAGTTACGTGTGACTAATAATAATGGATACTTTAACACGCTTGAGCATATTTTATACGAATTTCCAACGAATATTCCAACGAATGGGAGGTGAATATCCCATCGCTTTGTATCGTGGTACACAATTTAAAAAAATTGGAATACTACCGTATTTCAAACTCTCGTGCAGCGTGAGTTCCTGCAACGCGAATTCCTACAATACGCTAAAGATATCGCGACCGCCTTTTTTTTTATAGAACACGATTTTCGTGCAACGGACTCTATATTTCATCAGTCTCCCGTGCAACAAAATAATAGTCGGTGTTCAACGCGCGTCGCTAAAACGTAGAGTTAGAAATGTTAGAAAATCTGACTCCAGAGAAACCTCGAGTAATCAATTTTGAGGATTACCTATCGCTTCAATGACGGATAAACAATGTTTTTTTTTTATCGCGGGGGAGCCAATTAGTGTTGAGCAACTCCAAAATCTTAAGTGTGCTTTAATTGTTGGTTACTTCGAATTAGAAACGTAAACGAGTGCGGGGAACACGATTATCGGGAACTTTTTGGGCGTATCGATTAACAGTATCGTACAAAAACGTGTTGCCATCGAAAAATCTTTTGTAAAGTGGACGAGTGGGGGCTGGCCAGCTATTATCGTAACATCCAATTCAGCATTGTGCCCGAAATTATCGTCAGTTACCACGAGTTTCGTGACTGCCGCCGTCCTAGCTGGTTCCTGCTGTCATGTATCGCTGCCCAACCCTCTAGCGCCCAAGTTAAGGTATGAATACGGCATTGATAGTCGGACATTTAACGATGCATTCGATTGTGAACGTCTAAAAAGAGAGGAACCACTTTGGGAATTGAAAAAAGAAAAGCTATAAGTCGTGCATAATAAATGATTTTGTACTTAATGATAGGTATCTTAAAACGTAAGAAAAAACTTGATATCTCAGGATTCACTTGTCTGAAAGAAAAAAAGGAACAAATTTTGTTCAACGTCTATTCATGTAACGATGGTGTCTACTATAATGACTGGAAAACATTGACAATGGGAAAAATGAGTTCTTTTATTTAATAATGTAAAACATAAAATGTATCTTTTGACTAAAATTGTTTATTCTAGTAGATACCATAGCCAGTAGACGATGAACAAAAATTTGATACTTTTGTTTCAGACAAATAGGACGTGAGATATCATGGTTACCGTTATGACATTTAATTTTCGCAGCGTTGGTTTCCTGAGCGATTTTCTCAGAATATTTTTTATCTTGTAAGATATGTATTGTTAAGTAGCAAAAATCATTTATTATTGTACGATTTGCGGTTTTTCTCTTTTTCTATTCCCAAAAAAGCCTCTTCTTGTAGATAGTTCACTCTAGAATGTATCCTTAAGGGAGGTAACAACGATGACGCAACATTTATTTTTATGCCTTTAACAACTTCAATCGCGTAACAACGTTTAACCGTTGAGATAAAGAAATAATTATACAATTTTCTTGTATTATCGAAGTTAATGCTCTCCGTGACCAATAAATTTAAAATGTATAATTTAGAAAGCTTCTAGACCATTAATCAAAAGTTTTGGTTCTAAAATTGAAGAAATAAAGTAATTGCGAATATTTCCGGGAGGGTATCATGTTGCTCAAGAGGATCGCCAAGTAAGTTTGAAAACCTTTGTATCAAAAGCTTGTTTCCCGAACTAAATTTCAACATTTCTTCAAGTGTGATAAACATGTTGGCTTCCTATTGTTACAATGCATTGCCGGATATATTATTCATTGTCCGACCTTGCCTGTTTTCAGTTTCTTCATTCGTTTCCAATATATGTTAACAACTGCGATAAATTTTAGGTGAACACCGAAACATTTAACTTCAAGTGGCTGTTCAAAACTTTTGTATTCGAAGCGATTTTGAAACGTTTTAATGCATCTAGCTGGTAATAAATCTTGATGATGATATCTGCGCGACTCCAAAACTTTACAAAACATGGACGCAAACGTTTAAAAGGAACGTTCGACTTTCGCGAAATGTTACAACAATTTTTCAACGGTGTCGTGTACATTTGTACGAACGTATCGAACGAATACTGTTATTTTCTTAATCCGAGGAGGTTGAGAAGCGCGTCAACGAAATTTATTTACGAGATTTTCGGTGATGGATTTTTCACGTGATACGAATTTTGCAATGATCCTGTCGCGATTACATAATAAATTCTTTACACGCAGCATATTTGGCTTGTGACCAGCTTCAAAATACGTAGATTCTATCGTAATGAGCTGTAACGAACACCATCGCTCGGTTTCAGGTATGCCGGGGATTTTTATCGTCGATATTTGCAGATCGTTAATCGACGACATCTCGCTATTTATGTTTGCCAATGTTTGAAAGAAAAAGGATTAAAAAAAAAAAACGAAGATACGAAAAAAGTATTCAGACAGGAACACATTCGAACGCTATTCAATTGTCAAATATTTGTACGATGTTTAAATACTATTCTAATACTTTTCTATTGGATTATTCTAACCATTCTCATACATTTCTTCTGAACCTCCACAAATTATAAATTTTTTAATTTTTACACAGATTTCCGTGTATTTGTTATAAAGTTTCTCGTGAATTCGTTAAAAACAGATAAAATATATGAATCTTCAAAATCATTACACGATACTCGTGCATTTGCTATCAATGCATAGAATGTTTAGATTTACAAAGTACAACTTTTTCATAGATTTGTTATAAACTTTTGAAATTGATAAATAACCATTATACATATTATTCTCCAAATTGATTTTGCAAATTAATAATAGTTTTTAGTGCATTTCGTTTCAGAATCGAAAATACTGTTCAGTTATTTATAGAATATTTTATTACGGTGACCGTGTTGGCTGTATACATATATATATATATACCCCAGTAGTAAAACGTAAGTCCAGTAAACATTGCGACAGCGATGGATATTTCGTCTAAAAAAAAAATGCCAAATTATTATGTCTAGAGATATATTTAATCTTTAAGTACGAATACTCTTGATCATTTTCCTGTTTATTTAGATTCTTGTCTCTAACTTATGGCTGTTGTTCCAGTAAAATAGGTCGTACGTACTGTTAGAATATTTCGTTTAAATCGGAATAGTTAAATATCTCATGAGAAGATGAAGCTTTCGAAAAAATGTTTAACAAAAGTTATATGATTCGAAGAGACAAATTGTATGGAGTAAAGAATTTTGTTGTAAATAAAGTAGCAGGGGAGGATACAATAATGTATTTAAAAAAGTACTATTAAAACTTACTATTTAGGTAATATTACTCAGATATTCAAAGTATATACGTAGTATTAAGCCTCCTTTGAGAATTTAAAATAGCGATGTAATCACTTTGCATATCAGCTATCGATTATTTACAACGTTGCACAGCCATAGATTCCAAAATTGTTTACAGCATATAATTTGTCCATTCGAACGAAATAAGCATTGTACAAATATTTTTTAATGGCTTTGCCCATGATTGTCCTCTCGCGAGATATTTAACCAATCCGATTTAACACGTTGTTTGCCAAGTGAAAAACTAGTGAAAATTTGTACAAAGTTAAAATTTTGTCTCGAAATTATTCAAGACCATACAATTTAACATTTGTCGTAGTATTTAATTTCTTTTCCCCGTCAAATTTAGGAATCCTATCCAGATTTATTTTTACTAACGCCTCACCTTCGGAATGAATTCTTTTAGTTTCTCAATGAAAACTCTATTTCTGGGTGACGTGGCAACCAATGTGTCGTATATTTTATTTTTAATACGAAACACTGCTATATGTTTCAGGCCTCAGAGAAGTATCAAGAACAAAGTACACACAAAACCCAGAGCGCTGTTCGGTCACGGCAGATACAAGAACAACGTCTAATCGAACAGCACAGTACAAGTATACAAGAAAGTTCCGGTCTACCGAAGAAGAGTTTTAACGCTATCCGGCTGAACAACATCCCCTTACCATTGCCAGGTGGCCTCGTAACATGTAAGTACAGATAAGTAAAATTTCAATTATTCAATTATTATTATACATTAACATAATGTATAAAATTGATGAAATTTCTATGTTTGGCGAATCATTATTTCTATGTTTCACGAATTAGCTTTTGCTCGCCGATTAAAAACAGTAAAACAAAGCCTGACATAAAGTAGCCTATTCTCTAATTGTAAGTTGGAAGGATGCCAACACGTGTATATAATTTTATCGAAATACGTGGAGCCGTTTTCGAGTTATGGCTTACGAACATTCGGACAGACAAACACACAGATGAAGAAATAAAATTTCTGAAAATACATGTTTTTTTCCCTTGTTCCCTTGGGTATTATTAAGGATACTCGAAAATATAGAAAATTCGAAGAAAAGACAGATTTTCAATTTTCATACAAGTGCAGGCAAATGTAGAAGTTGTAAGAATTTGTGATTACATCATTGTACGTAAGGGACTTTGCAGGAAAATGGTAAAAGTACGCGTTTCTCTCGGAAAGTTTCTTAGTAATTCTAGAGATTTATTTCTGAAAATTTGACAACATTCTTGAAATACGTACAGTGTCGTGCAAAATTTTCTAGACAATGAAATGAAACAAAATACAAACGGAGCGATTGCTAAAATAAAAATAGATCTTTGTGCTTTATCGAGATTCCCGACCTGCCTTCACCTGTATTCGATAGGTACGCATTCTTCCCACCCTTGCGAGAGACCACGCGATCAACATTGGCGCCATGTCGTTTTCGTTGGCAACAAAGTTAATTCTCGTTAGCAACAAAGTTATTACCGAATAATTAGGGATTCTTTAGTTTATTTTAATACTAAAACTGCCAAGTCGTTCAATTTCATCTCTACACTTCAAATTTCTTTCTTAAAGTCACTTAATCAACAAACTAGTTTACTCCTTCATAGTTGTATCTATGATAAATATTTACTACGTTTGTTTTAGTGTTAACTGTTCGCTTAAATCTTAAAAAAAAAAAAAAAAAAAACGGATCTCCAATTACAATAAATATTCAGACATTACAAATCACTAGAGTGCGAATGTTTATGCATTTATGGCAAATCTATAACAACGTGTACAAATGCAACAATATATAATATATCAATAATAATATACATATTATACCGTTTAAAAAACAAGACATACTTTCACTAATGTTTCGATACTTTTTCTGGATCTGCGATAATATAATTTTGCATAAACATCCGCGGTCTACAAATCACCATTGAATATCGCACACTAAATGATGCATGTCTTCGCCATTCAAGTAAAACATTTGTTGCCTTACTTTTCCAAAATCGCACCCTCCAAGAAACGTACCACGACCGAACGGAAGTTTGCGTGCAAATAGTTTTCCGAAGAGAACAGTTCGCAGGAATTTGTGCAGCTCACCCTGTATACGAACGAAGTTGCAATTTCATGATAATTATTCCTCATTCACGGTTCGCACACTCCAACGTAGACAGGATGTACGAAACGACAAGTATGACAGGTCCGCACTCATCGTCTTGCTGCTGGTTCCACCATGACACCAAAAATATAATCAGAGTGGAAGCGCGGCGGAGGCAGTGGGAAGGATGAAGGAAGAGAAAGAGAGACATGCAAACGGCCGTGTGGCGGAAGCAGGGCGGTGATATTAATATTGGATGATTAAGTGGCTCCGGATGTGCGGATTCGTCATTGGCCCAAAAATCGTAACCTGAATCTGAAAACCGCAGACGTGGATGTTACTAACGGGGGAAGAAGTCAATCTTCTCTCTGTTCTCGTAATTCTTTTTCTTTTTCGCTTTTTATAAATCCGCGTTAAATTCGCGTCGATACAAATGTCCAAGCATACCAGACTAACGGAATGTAATAACTAGACTGCGAATTTGATGCATTCACGAGGTACAACAATATAGAAAACATACATAAAATATACACGATGTATGTCGTTGAATATACTTTACAATTAACATAATAATAATGTTAATTTGTTTTGCATAAGCGCACGTACCTTTTGGTTATGTTTAGCATGTACTAATTGCGTTAATTTATATCATAAATGCATAAAATCCGCAATCTGTTAATAATAATCATAGCAATACAAAATTAACGTTAGGTAATTTCGCTTGTGTTACCGATTATTTCGATTGGCCAACTCAAAACAAAATGAGACCATTTGATTTATTTACGAAGAGCAATTAGACAAACCCAAAGTTTTCTTCTCGATTTATTACCGTATTTGTGATAACCAAATATGATAATCGAATTCAGATTTTTACCTTGGTATTATCTCACATATATTAGGTGAACTGTAAAGTAATGTCGTTTTTGCAATATTAAATACTTGTTTATCACTCATCAGCTCATTGATTTTTATCAATCTGGCATTGAAAATTTTGCACCACCCGATGGCAAAAGGCTGCTGCTAACGTGGACGATTTCATAATTGATTAAAAATAGAAATTTATTAAAAATTTGTTTGAATTTAATGTAAAAGAAACGACATTACTTTCCAGTCTACCTAATATATCCGTTAGTTCTATTTATTTACTTGCAACATTTCGACATAGTTTAATGTTTCATCTAGCTCGGCAAGAATTGAGAGTTGCACAGCTCTATGAAGGAATGGAGTTGGTTATAAGTAGACTGCGGATGTTTATGCATTTATGACAAGTGCAAATAACCAAAAGTATACAAGGAGAGTTCAAATGCATGAACACATAAGATATAAAAAATAAAATTTAATTTAAGATTTAAATTTCTGTTTTGCCTCCGTATAAAAGCACGAATTTGCATAAACATCTGCTAGTTACAAGACACGACTTTGAACATTCCTTTATTTTCTAATACACCCTAATCGTCTCCTATTGGTCATTTTACGTCGATAACTTGAACACGTCGCGTTTTCCATTCTTTTTATTCTTTCATCGATTTAATCGATATAACTCGCGTGAGTAATGTTACCCCGCCTAGAGTTTCGGTTGTTTGTAATTAGTCAAGAGACGCGAGCTCAACTTCTCGTGTTACCTCTGGCACGCGTTTAATGTGCACGAGTGAGTTGATTTGCTTGCTCGACGACTTCCTGCGCAAAGTGAAAACAGCAACGTGAGCGGAATAGAAGCCAGGATATTACGCGCCAAATTCCTCTCTTTTCTATCTTAAGAATTCCGGGATTCCTTGCACATGATAACGATTTATACAACTGTGCACCTCGATGATGGAGCCAGATTAAAACCTTAAAAATAATTACATTTCAACGACGAGCCGTGCCAAACGTTTATAATTCTAGTACACTCGAATGATCTTATGTTTTGCCCCTGTTTCTACTGTTACGTCACTCGACGGTACACGTCCCCTTTAATCTGACAGTAAGAGTATTTAATTGAAACAGAAATACAAACTAAAACTACATACATATACATGTCCTAATCAACGTTTTGGCTTTTAGTGTAGATTTCCCTGGATATAGAAACACGAAACTAATAAGACCGTTAATTGAAACAGAAATATAAACGAAAACTAGGTACATTTGTACATTCTAATCAACGTTTTGGCTTTTAGTGTAGATTTTCTTGGATATATTAGAACCATGTAGTTAATAAAAGATTGAAGTTATAAGCAGAACTAAACTATATCGATAGCTACATAGAGGAACTGAAATATAAAATATAAAAACTTGTGTCTCTTACAAGGAAAGCTTTTTAGGTGTCCGTTTTCGATTGTTTAAATTTTTGGATATGTTTTAAAGGACCGAAAAATAAGATATACGTATCTTTTTATATTGGCCCGTTTCCATACTTAGGAGATGAAACGATCCCTAAAGTTTCAGCTGCAGTAGGCTATCTCCGAAACTATCATAGACAGAAGAAAACTTTTTAAGAAAAAGTTTCATGGTTTTCAGTCTGCATATAAAATCTGGCCCTAAATTTTGTAAAAAATAATTTGTTTATAATAATAGCCTGTTGCAGCTGAAACTCTAGGGGGTCGTTTTACCTCCTAAATATGAAAACAGGCCAATATAAAAAAATACGTATATCTTATTTTTCGGTTCTTTAAAACATACAAATATTATCCTTCCTCTGTCCCACTTCTCTTTGGTAAATCCAGAGAGGAGGAAAAAGAAAGAGGGAGAAAGTGTCATAGCGGAAGTTGTTATTTTCTTTTTCAACGCGTGCGTTAGCTGGGAGAAATGGCACAAAGTAAGAATTCGCGAGAATTCATCTTATTATCGTCTTCTAGTCGTCTTCGACTATTTTCCGATCACGACAGATAGACTATTTCTTTCAGATTTATCCACGCGACAATACGTTGGTACTGTTGCAATAGAAACGCGCGTATCTGATCTCGTGTAAGCGTTTTACATAGTACAACATCATTGTGACATAGAGAACAGGTCTGTTTTGGATATACACGACCGATCATGAACAAGACATTGACATTTTCATTTTTATTTTCTACTACTGACAGAGATGGAATTTCACTTGAAATTGTTGAAAATTACATTTCATCGATCTGAACTAAACATATTCATTTACTCAACGGGAATAAGTATCCAGCAAAAGTCTCGGCTCTATACTAACGAACATTACTTATGTTTCTACATTTAGTTTGTGTTGCATTTCAAAATATATCTTATTAATAGTTCATTTAACCCTTAGTAGCATGATTTTTCAAATTAAATTAAAAAAAAATAAATAAATAAATATACATGTCGAATTGAGTAATCTCCTCCTTTTCGAAGTCGGTTAAAAATATCAATTTATTTATTATTTAAACAATTTTGACAGCCGACGTTTATTTTTTTAACTTTTGTTTAATAGAACATTATGCAATGGTGACATACGTACAGCCATATATTGAAAACAAACCAAGTGTACAATTCGATTTAAGAGTCCGGTACCAAATTTGAAACTTAGGGCATTTAGGCATTAATGTCCCATCAGTAATAATACAAAAAAACAATTCATACTATCGATAGACTATTCTCCACCACTAACGAATAGTGTAACTCCGTCTTAAAGTTCAATTCACACTATCCGTTCGCCTGTTGCGATGAACCTATCCCTATCACTAATTAATCACTAATTAAACCCATCGAAACATTCCTTTAAAAGATCGCTCTTTCAACGAAACAATAGCTATAACAATAATAAAATAGTATAAACACTTCTATGTGAAACTAATCGAGGAATGTTGCAAAAAACGATTGATGTACGGAATAGTGTGAAACAGGCTTAAACGTATGTTCGAACTAAAAATATAAGAGACGACACGGCCAGATAGATCTCTGCGTCTCATTAAATTTGGATTTATTAACACACCTACTGCCAAGAACCAATCGTATTTCTAATATTACAGTACTTACAACCCATCGAATATATTCAATATAATTTCACTGTTAAGCAATTACTAAAATACAATTCAAGGCTAATTACGAGATTAAGGCGTCAATGAAACTGCGATAAAAGGAATGGACATGTTTAAAAAGCAAAATGCTAATTCGAAAACCTGCAACGTCGATCAATTTTTGAGAAAGCATAGACTATTTTATACTATATATTAAATAGAAATATTAAAAGAAAAGTTTTCTAGATTGTTGACATTACTTCGTCCATCTGTCACGTGGTTGTCACTGCCCGTATAAGTACCCATCCACCGACACGCACCAACCAAAATTAATTTCTGGACAAGTATAAATATCTTAAACTTCCGAATCTATATTCCATGGTTTCGGTGCTGAAATATGATGTATTATTCACCAGCCAACACACATGTTCAGTTACAAATTATCCGTACATTATTCAACGTTAAAGGAAGAACTATTTCTTTCCAACATGAAACTTTTTAAATATCATCTCTAGCCTTCTTTAATTTATCGCTATTTTTCTTAGAATTTAGTACCGCAGCGAACGAGCCAAATTATAATTCTTTTAAATCATATCCATATCCGACACTTTACCCTACATCAACAACGACCTCGTAATGAAACGAAGATTAATCAAGGAATCTATTAAAAGACTCTGGTAGAATTGACGGATTTCGGATTGTCAACGAATGACAATAATACCGCCGCGAGCCTGTGACACGGCAGGTGTAACAGGGGTTCGTTCATCTTGGAGGGAAACCGTTCATTAGATTTAAGCGTGCGCGTAATTATACCGCAACGCGAGACGTTGTATTATATGTACGCGGTTGTCAGTGTAATAGAGGTGGTAAATTTATTAGACACCAGGCGACTCCTGCGTAATATAAAGTCTGGCGGTAGATGTTCTGGAAAAAAAAGGTCTCGGCGGGCTGGCATGGTTCAGTCGCTAGTAATTCTCCTGCTCGCTTCATCGTCAGTCGCGCCAGAGATGTACCCCCGAGAAGTCAATTGACGCCGCAATTCTGCTGGAGGAATCTTAGCAAACGCCCTCTCGTGTTGGAAGCCACTCTGCTCCTGTGACGATTCGTTAAGAAGAGAAGAAATCCAGAGGGTTTCTTACGGTGTATCTCGTTCGGTCGGTTTTTTTATCCTGTCGCGAATTAGGTCCGTGCTTTTGACGTTCACTGTCTATAGAAAGAACGTTCCCTTCGAGGTCCGTCAACGGACAAAGGCCTGATTTATCCTTACCGAAGAATAACGATACAAAGTTTTACGAATGAGCGACATATCTCTGTGCATGGTGTTTCTATTCGACTCTTCTCGCGCGGCATTCTTCGAACACGCATTCAAATTGCCCGATCCACGATCTCCTGGGAATCTCGTATCTCAATTTCTTCGAACGTAAACAGTTTTATTTAACTAATCTTGGTTTTTTATATAAATTCGACTGTGTACCGCGAAAATTCATTGTCTGGAGAAGTGCCTCCATCTTGCAGCAGAGTTTTCTCCTTTACTTCCCGTCGTCAGTGTCTTCTATATTGTTTCACTTGAAAGTACTATCGACTAACGAATAAAAAGAATAAACCCGTCAACGTCAGGGGAAAGAATTTTCGATGGCCCGCGTATAAATTCTTTGTTATAATTATACGATCGTTTCTCATCGTGCGAAGCTTACAAAAGCTTCTTACTATCGTCTAGCCGGTGGTGTTAGCAACAAAATAATTTGCTTTTATTCTTTCAAATACTTTATCTTTCCATTATTGATCGTTCGTAGTCGTTTCTATTTTTTGCTCGCTCTTCTTTGTTCAACGTCGACGCAATGTTATTTTGAAAAATTCTCCAAACGATAGCGCGACGTTGTTAGCTCGTACATCGGACGTTGATCATTAATTAACGGTGGCCTAGTATTAGTTTAAGCGTAATTTTAGAATCTCACTGCATTTTGTGGTCTAACATTTGCCCAAGAGATTTTTCTGCTCTTGCTAAAGATATTTATGATATAAAAAAAAAGTAATTACTATAAATGTTTAGACATTATTAAGGTGCAATTTTTGATAAGTTCTAGCGACACTTTACCAAGGAACGTCCGTCGAAAACATTTATATTTATCAGAATATTTTAGCTTAATCCGTAAAAATATAGCACTGATTTTTAGGTGTCTCCAGCGAGAAGATGAAAACGTGTTATGTCGAGACGCATCTTGTCAAAGGAAGTTATTTTCGGATTGACGGATACTTTATAATGCTACATTTCTTCTTCAATTCTTCCAGTCCGTAAAAACATCGGAATTTCTGGGAATCAAGCTTAAATCTTTCGATCTACGTAAATGAAAGTTTTATTCTTGGTTCAACTTATCGTAGGTTCGGCGTTTTCAAAACGGGCGCAAGTATATTTGCCAAGGGAGAGGAACTTACAAAGTTCTGCACGTTAAAAATGAATTTCTCACTTGATTCGTGTCGCGTGTTTATCCCATTTCTCATAAGTTTTTAACACGACGCGTTCAATTTTCTTTAAAATTGTCTCACCGCAGGGATTATTTAAAACGCTGTACTTCGTATAAACCGTGCACCGTGGAAGTAACATTCAAATTCTTTATCTTTAAACGAGTACTGTCGAGTTTTTAAAAAATTCCACGTATTAAGAGTTACTACTGCTCCTATTAATATCAATGTAACGAATATTTCGTTAGAATATTTCGATTACTGGACACTTTAGCTCGAATCGCGCAGGATCAACGAACGGAGTATTTTCATTGGATCGATTTCTCGTTTTCGTTTTTGAATGAAAAGTTTTGGAACGCCACGTATATTTACTCCCGAGGGGTGTTGAAAATTAGTTTCGAAAAATCGAATTAGGTTCACCGATTGGTTCGTGGAGCGCGTAGCGTTATCGATATCAGTGAGTCGACTGAGTCTGAGTTGTACCTTTAGAAATGGTTTGGGAGGAAGAGGAGATTGAAACCACATGGAAGGAGGTGTCGACTTTCTACAGATACGGATTGAAGACTATTCCGTACAGTCAGTACGATTACGCTGAGCGTGGGCCGATTTGTTACGCCAAGGGCAATCCGGAGAATGAAGAACCACCGCCAGGACTTGATTTCGCTCCATTAATTTTTCAGAGTCTTTACTACGTGCAAACGAAAAAAGGTTTCAAAGTTTAGGAAGTTATACTTAATCGCTATCTGTTCACTTGCTCGTTAATGCGCGTTGTGTTGCACATTTCAAATATTAATTACAATGATGGCGCATTGGATTACTAAGGGTGCGGTAATCGTAGGAATTTAGACATCTGTAAAGTTAATTTACCCGTAAATAATTATGAGATATATTGTTCCACGAACTGTTGTGCCTATCATCAAATAAAAATGATTCCTTTTAAATGAGTATTATTATTGTTACGTAATAAATTCAAATTCTAGAGTATTGTGGGCCGTTTTATGTAGCTATGTTTTTATAATATTATTAGCCAAATAAGAGTACGATTATCTGCAGTTTAATCTGAACAATTTACATGTTTAGGTGATCTTGGAATTTTGAACATTTTAACGAAAAAAGTGTAACACCTTTTATAGAAGATATTGAACGTTTTAAATGAACGCCAATATTATGTAAATTTAATAAATTAAATTATTCGTAAATTGTACAACATTTGAGTTAGCGACAGAATGTTTATATTTTCAAACTGGACTTAATAATGTTTTTGTTTTATTTAAGTAGTCGAGATTATCGAACACATATTTACTAATTATCTGAAAATTTTCTAACAAACGATCAGGTTAGACATGTTAAATTTCAACAAATGGACGTATTCCTTAAAAGTTAATAATGTTTTTCAGTTACTAATCAGATGTAATCTGATCTATGTAATATTTCCAACAATAAATATATACTGCATTTACTAGGAATGTTACATTCTGCAAACACTTGCTTTCTGTACGAACATGTTTACCTTAGTAATTAGAATTTTCCATTTAACACGCGCTTTATATTTGTCAATGCAAGCTACGAAGTGTAATTGCGGTGTTTTGTTATTTCAGCTGAAGTAAAGATGCCGAGCGGGAATGTGGATAAACCAGTAATTGAAGATAATCGCGATGGCACGGTGTCTGTTAGATACGATCCAAGAGAGGAAGGACAGCATGAAATTTCCGTGAAATTTAACGGTGAACACGTTCAAGGTTTGTTCAATATTTTTATCGCTCTAAATTACACCGTGTACGTGCTAAGTGTTTGAAGATCGTTCGGAGATCGCTCGAAACGAAAATGCGAATGATAGTGGGTCTGCTTTGTTCACGTCTGACAAAACAAAAGTTTGCAAACTTGTACATTCAAAAAATTGTGCGCAATTATAGGAGGTCATCAGTAACGAAAAACTATGTTTTATTGGTGTAAAATAATCCGCGGTCTCGACGAAAGTGGGCAAAGTATCTTTTTCTTATCGTTATTGTATGTATAACGTATAAAATGTGAATTAATTTTATTGATTTAGGTTCACCGTTTAAATTTCACGTGGATTCTTTGGCAAGTGGTTATGTCACGGCGTATGGACCTGGTCTGATATATGGCGTATGCGGCGAGCCCGGAAACTTTACTATCTCCACGAAAGGAGCAGAAGCGGGTGGCCTTTCGTTAGCAGTCGAAGGACCTAGCAAAGCTGAAATTTCATGCCACGATAACAAGGATGGAACCGTTTCAGTTTCTTATCTACCGACTGCTCCTGGGGAATACAAAATCACCGTCAAGTTTGGCGACAAACACATTAAGGGTAGCCCTTACGTTGCTAAAATTACAGGTATACCAATAAATCAATCATAATTCACGTCATGCATGGTTACTTTTAATTAATTTACGTAATATCCGCGTGTATATTATTTCATTCGTATGTAATTCAGAAATTTGTTTGCGGAACGTTTAATTCATTTTTCTGCAATCTGATTAGTAACTGAAAATTGAAGTTTTAAGAAGTAGTAACACGCATGCGCAATTCATAGATTAATTAATATTCATAACTCTAAAAACAAAAATTAACTTATTTAGTTTTCACATTTGAAAAATAAATAAATTAATATTATTTGAACATAGGGCACATCTGCATAACTTTGACGCTGCTTCTGCATCATGAAAATACGGTTGTGAACAAAGTACTTTCCAACCAAACTCTCATTTTTTTAGAGTGGTTTTTAAGTTATAATGTCTTGCATTGTCAAGCTGCTGAATAACACCTGTTAGAGTAATCAGTCTTCGATGTTCTTGAATCAAAGCCAGAGTTTATCTATCAAACTGAGCACAATAATATTTAACACTGATGGTTTCATCAAGATTCAGAACTTTATAATTTCTGTGAAATCTAGCCATACTGACAATAACATTCTTCTACGGCCAACATTTGGTTTTTAAGTGGGTCAAGGTGGTTACCTTGGGGTTAACCAGTATTTTTTTTTTTAAATTTTGAGAAATGCCAGTAATCTTTGTAAGCCTATTGACTCAAAAAAAAGCTCGGGTACCTCGGGTTCGCCAAACCCGTACTGTAGCTGCGACAGAGAACAGCTACAGCCCATGAGGGTCTTCCTTTCCACTTTGTTCAGCTTTTTAACACTTTCGCTGCGGACGAAAATAACTAGCCGTTCGCTGGGAGCTGCAATATTCTTTTTAATGAAAAATTTCTTACAAATGTTCTAATATGATTATTTTAAATAACATATATTTGTGGTAACTTATTTTATATATAATATGATTTCCGAACAAAAAAAAATGAAAATTGAAAAATAGTAAAAGCAACCATATATTTTCAGTTGGACGCACATGTGCGCCATCCGCAGCGAAAGTGTTAAATACCGTTGAATCGTGGACCATAATGTTTTAATTTTTTTTTTTTTTTTTTTTTTTTTTTTTTTTTTTTTTTTTTTTTTTTAACACAACGTGCTATTATACCTACATGTTCCTAATTCTCTATTCCAATAATTTTCAACATGAATTACAACAAAAACGTTGTCAACAATTCAGTAATTTAGAAAGAAGTACTAATGTGGATGAGTCAAATTAGTAGTTCTAGTGTTAAATTGTAGCGAAACCTCTAATATGTCGCGCATCTTTCGTATTAACTGCTAAACTGTTCTATCCCGAATTATGAACACTGTCGACTCTTCTAAAATTTCTTTCGTCGTCTTTTTCCAGGCGAAGGCCGCAAGAGGAATCAAATCTCGGTCGGTTCCTCCAGCGAGGTTCAGTTGCCCGGCAAAGTTACCGATTCCGACATAAGATCGCTGAACGCCTCCATCACAGCACCGAGCGGTCTCGAGGAGCCATGTTTCTTAAAAATGCGACCCAGCGGGAACATGTGCGTGTCTTTCACCCCCAGAGAAGCTGGCGAGCACACCGTCGCCGTGAAGAAACTGGGAAAGCACATCCAAAACTCACCGTTCAAAATTGACGTGACTGATCGCGAAGTTGGCGACGCGAAAAAGGTGAAAGTATCCGGCGCGGGCTTGAAAGAAGGTAAAACTCACGTCGAGAACAATTTCTCGATCGACACGAGGAACGCCGGTTTCGGTGGTCTATCGTTGTCGATGGAAGGGCCGAGTAAAGCAGAGATTCAATGCAAAGATAACGAGGACGGCACGCTAAATATTTCTTACAAGCCTACGGAACCGGGTTTCTACATTATGAATTTGAAGTTCGCCGACCATCACGTGGAAGGCTCGCCCTTCACCGTCAAAGTCACCGGGGAGGGTAGCAATCGGCAGAGGGAGAAGATCCAGAGGCAGAGAGAAGCTGTGCCTATCACGGAGGTTGGCAGCCAATGTAAATTGACGTTCAAAATGCCAGGGATCACGTCTTTCGATCTCGCCGCGACTGTTACATCTCCCGGAGGCGTGACCGAGGACGCGGAAATCAAGGAAGTCGAGGATGGCCTGTACGCTGTCGCGTTCGTGCCCAAAGAGCTCGGAGTGCACACGGTGTCCGTTCGTTACAAGGAGATTCACATCCCTGGATCGCCGTTCCAATTCACCGTTGGCCCTTTGAGAGACGGAGGAGCGCATAGGGTTCACGCTGGCGGCACAGGATTGGAGAGAGGAGAACAAGGTGAACCGTGCGAGTTCAACATCTGGACCAGAGAAGCTGGAGCTGGAACTCTGGCTGTCTCGGTCGAAGGACCTAGCAAGGCTCAAATCGACTTCAAGGATAGAAAGGATGGTAGCTGCTACGTCAGTTACGTCGTTTCCGAACCTGGTAAGTTTTCATCGTGTCTGTATTTTTTATATAGTATTTACCGTTCCGTCTCGAGGAGCGTGAAACGTGAAAAGTTCGTTGGTACGTTTATGATGAGCGGGGGATGAAAGACTATTTTTGAGGATTAAGGTATTTCGAGTCTCTTCTCGAGGAATGACTTTAGAATCTTTTTGTTTGGACCTCAAATAAGGAATCCATGCAAACCTTGGTCGTATTTGGAGGACATTTTTCCAACTCCATTTGGAGGGCCTTCAAACTTTTCACCCTTTCAGGTTTCATCCCTTCCTTCTCTGGAACACCGTGTCGAGAATGTTAACACATTGTTGACCGACAATTTTACACAGAAGCGACTTCATGTCACCGGCTATTATTTCGTAATAATTGTACTACCAAAACTACGGAATGGTATAAACTTGAATACGGAGAAAAGTATATTCTATTGTTAAAAAAGAATCAAAATAATGAGCAAAGTTTTTCCAAGATACTATGTGTATCGTCTTCGGTTTTATAAATTGAAATAAACACGAGTTTACTCTGACCGGTCAACAATGTGTTAAGTATAGGATGGCGGCAATTATGTCAAATAACACATTGCTTTATTTTATAATTATTTGAAATGATTGTTTCAAATAATTGTGAAATTTTTCTTCAAAATTGTATCAGTTGAAATCACAGGTACACGACAAAAGTAAAACAGAAAACAATTTCGCATTTGTTATCCAAACTCGAGTAGAAATAAATGTATCGACGTTTTTGCGAAATAAAACGACCGACCTATCTATGTTAAATTATTATGCAATTATAAGAGACGTTTTCCTAAATTATAACACATTTTGCGACAGTATCTGATGGACTCAACCATCATTTTAAATAAAATAAAATAATAACTAAACAATTCGTTACTTCAAATACCTACTATTGGCATTACTTTTATTTTCAAATAACTCTATTGAAAATAACGAATCGAAGTAAATTATTTCAAATAGTTATCTCGCGCTTCTATTTCAATTGAAAATTGCCGAGGTCTAGTTATGAGTAATCGAAGTATGAATAGAACCACTCGACGTCTCATTGTCGGAAGTGTTGCTATGACTCAGAAACAAAATGCACTGTTAGCGCCAGTAAATACTAAGTACACACTCCGCCTACAAAGGAATGAATGAACACTGCTAAAAAAAAAACGAATATATCGCGTGTTTGAGCAACGATGGAGAGAGGTTCCCGATTGCGTTCATCGGTTATGCTGGGCTGGTCCAGAAATACCTTCGTCTATATTTGCGTCTAAGGTGAATTCATATTTTCGTGGCTAAGACTGCTGGATGTGAATTAGCGTGGTTGTTATATTTGGACAGTGTGCATCAAATGAGGGGAAGAGAGAGAGAGAGAGAGAGAGAGAGAGAGAGAGAGAGAGAGAGAGAACATGGACGAATCGAGATCAGAAGTTAGAATCAGGCTGCGGAAAATAGTGGTTCGCGATCAAAGCTGCGTTCAGTTATCCATTTCCCGCCTTTTGACCCACTTTTCTTTTACTTTTCCTCCGCATTCTTCTCTTAATCATCCGATCAAGCTTCCTCGCTTTACTTTTGCTTTTTCGCGTATTCCGTCTCTGCGCATCCTCGTTCCAAATTTCTTCGCTACTACTTCTTACTTCAAATATTATCACCTTTGTACTTCCGTTCTTACCTTCGGCCTGTTCTTCTCCCCCCATATTTCTCTTTCTCTCTCTCTCTCTCCCGCTCTCCCTCGCAACGTATATTTTTAATCGCCAAACGGGGTTAACTGTTCCTATCTTTTATTATCGTATTATAAACTTTTACGGTTTTCGGCAAAGAGACGATTTGTAAACAATGAACACTTTCACTGCTACCACGCAAATCATTCTTTCGGGAAATGAGTACGACAACCGCGAAGACGACGGTTAGTTTGATCAGAATTAGCCAATTAGATAATTCGTATTATTGATTCCAGAATATAATACATATAATTAAAATTTAGACACTTTTTAGATAAACTAAACGAATACTGGTTAAACATACTGGTTTATCGAGACTAACTATGAATAACTATTTTTAATTTGCATTTTCAGGCGAGTATAGAGTAGGAATAAAGTTCAACGATCAACATATTCCTGATTCTCCGCACAAGGTTTACATATCACCAGCGATGGGCGACGCTCATAAGCTCGAGGTCGCACAATTTCCGGAAACCGGAGTACAACCCGACAAGCCAGCCACTTTCCTCGTTCGTAAAAACGGTGCTAAGGGTGAACTCGATGCGAAGGTAACATTTATTCTAGCACTCGTATAGAGTTTCCCAAAGAGGTTCTAAGATTTTGTTTCTTTTAATATAAATGCTAACACAAAATGGGTCGAATGGAAACACTAACACCTTTGTCGAACATTTTTTGTACTACAATACTTTCCTTTCTTGTACGTTAATAAATATAAAAACGAGAAATTTGTAACAATTTAAGAGTTAAAATATATCGTTTTAAAGAAAGTAATGTAGGTCTCTTTGCTAAACGAATTTATAGTATCGTTTAAAACAATTTCCTATTTTAATTACGTAAATTCTGCGAATTGAAACCGCGCGTGTGAATATTTTACTCAATAATTTCATTCTATTGGATAATTCGAAATGTATACGAAAATAATGAAACTGTAGATACGAAATTTTCTTACTATATTCCCGACATTTTATAGTAGAAGGTTTCGACCTTCGGATCTCTTGGAAACCTACATCATTTTCGTGACGAAGTTCTTGCGAAAACCACGCTGTAAATAACTTCTTGTGAAACGAAAATGCCACATTAGACTTGTGTGCACGGCAAGCATACATTTCTGTAAGATATTAACTCTACATATAATTGCTACATATCACTGCTGTATATAACAGTTGAATCATTACGATTCTCTTGGATCGTTAGAAGATATTCACAAGAATCAACGATAGCTTGTACAGTTATGCGAAACAAATTATTAAACCTTTTTTCTTAAATATGAACGTCCTGTTACGTTACATAAAAGAATGCACATATAACGCAAAGTGACTGCATTTATTACTATATCAAACATGAGACTTCATCAAACATCATAGATGCAAATAAAAAATAACAATTCTGATACTATAGCAATATAGTTTTAGTAAAGTACCAAACTTTCAAGTTCCTAAGCATTAGTCTCAACCTGACGAATATCACAACTTTTGCAATATGTAATTAATCTAACAGATTACAAGTGTGCTTGATAAGTACAGTAATAATAGAAGAATAAAAAGAAGCAAAATTTGATGTCCAACTAAAGTTCGTATAGATGCATCGCAATAGACATCAGGTTGACACTTGGGTTATCTGTATAGATACGTTGTAATAGAAATCAGGTTGAAAACTTGAAAGATTGGTACTTTAATATACCAAAAAAGGCGTCTAGCTACCCTGACCGCTCGTCAGATGGGTACTATTCTTAAAAAGAAATTAATTAAAAAATTAATGAAGTAATCGCAAAAATCCATTACTATTCTTCAGATAATGTATCTGAACGTAGTGTGTACAAATTTTAGAGCAATCGGACCGCACGTTTACTTTTTTTTGGAATTATCACGAAACTACATTTTTCGAAATGGTACAACGTAAATCTCGTAAACTATCGGTTCGATTGCTCTGAAACTTGTACACACTACTTTTAGATACATTATCTCAAGAGTAGCAATGGATTTTTGCGAATACTTGATTAGTTTTTTTTTTTATTGACGATTTTTTTCGTGAAATTTCGGTGAAAAATAAAAAAAAAATTTCTTCGGTTCACCATAATTTTCTTAATAGTAAAAAAGAAAAATCTAATTGCTACTCTCTTGCGACAAACTCCAGAAACAATCTAATATTTTTCTTTTTTTTCTTTTTCACATGCAACCTAAAGAATATAACGATGGTGCAGCTCACGCGCGTTTCGTGCCGAAATCCTTCACCAAAATTTTCGAACCGCCGCCATTAATTCTTTTGTTGTTATCTCAAACAATGTTTCATGTGTTCCTTAAATCGTTCTTTAGTATGTGTCAAAATATAAAAATTTTTTTTTCTATACTTTCGCATTTACGAATTTTTTAAGAATAACCCATCTGGCGAGCGCTCAGGGTGGCTAGACGCCTTAAGTATACCTGTTTAAATTCTACAGAGACACAGAGTTAATTTCTACGCCTAATATCATCTCTCGTGCAAAATTCAAATAATGCGTCCCATTCCGAATAATAAAAATTTTCATAATAAAACGGTTCGTTCTTTTTTCAGATCGTATCGCCGAGTGGCATAGAGGATGACTGTTTCATTCAGTCCATCGACTCGGAAACGTACTCCGTGCGATTTTTGGCACGAGAAAATGGCGTTCACAACATCCACGTGAAATTCAACGGCGTTCACATGAACGGCAGTCCCTTCCGTATCAAAGTGGGCAAGGTAGACGCGGATCCCGCAGCGTTACACGCGTACGGAAACGGTCTGAAAGAGATCAAAACTGGCCAGAAAACGGACTTTATCATCGACACTTGTAACGCGGGTACTGGGGCCCTTAACGTGACTGTCGATGGCCCGAGCAAAGTTGCGATGGATTGCACGGAGGTTGAGGAAGGTTACAAGGTCAGGTACACGCCTTTGGTACCTGGCGACTACTACATCAGCATAAAGTACAATGGCTATCACATTGTTGGTTCACCGTTCAAGGTTACGTGTACTGGTGAGTATTTTTCCTATTTTTCTCACTTGACACAAAAATGCAAATAATTAAAATATTCACTGTTTAATTGCACCTAGTCGTTGAATATTAAGTGTAAAAATGAATTCTGTGCATATAGTTAGAAAACCTTTTATATGGAGTTATACATACTACTATTGAAAATACCTTTCTGAATAATATAATTATAGATTGCGATTTCCGTAATTATTTATTCGTTAGTCGTGAAACTATAACAACTATTCGTTGTAGGTACCGATCTAGCGGAAAGAGGCGCTCAGGAAACAAGTTCGATCGTTGTCGAAACCGTTCAAAAGATTTCGAAATCGAAACAAACTGGTCCAGTTTTGCCCTTGTTTAAATCCGATGCGAGCAAAGTGACGAGCAAGGGAATGGGTTTGAAGAAGGCATATCTCGGCAAACAGAATGTGTTTACCGTCAACGCAGCTGACGCTGGTAAAATATCATCGATATTATTAATCATAACCCAATAAAATATATTTACAAAATTCTAAAAACATCAAAAATATGCTGAAATATTTTCAGAACTACCGACAAATTTTCAATGTTTTTATAATATAGATTTTCAAATTTTATACGTGCACAGGGTGTCACAAAATTATATGTCACGGCCACCACGCCGTGATTGTACACCTACGATTTAGTGGAAATTGACATAGAAGACTCTCCGCAAAATTCACCTCGAACTTAAAAATCAAGATCGAAAAAACAAATTTTTTTTGTTTAATTGTGTTTAATCATAACGATCAACTTTGTGAAAGATACCATGGGTCCAATCTCAACCGTTATCTTAGAAAATGATGTATTTCTTATCATTTTTGCAGCTTCTTTATTGGTAAATAAGATAAGCCAGCAATAAGAGCAGCGTAACCACTTAGATAAAGTGCTTGCACACGGTGAAGCATTTAGTTATATTACCTGAATTAACGCATAACTCCTCGCTGCTTTGTCAATAGTATGCTATTTACATACATATTGGCGCTAGATGTAAAAATTTACAAATAAAGAAGCTGCAAAAATTATAAGAAATGCAACATCATTTTTTAAGAGAACGGTTGAGATGTGACCCATGGTTTCTTTTACAAAGTTGATCGTTATGACCAGTAAAACACGATTAAACAAAAAAGATTTGTTTTTTCGATCTTGATTTTTAAGTTCGAGGTCAATTTTGCGGACAGTTTTTTATATAAATTTCCACCAAATCGTAGGTATAGGATCACGCTATGGTGGCCGTGACATATAATTTTTTGACATCCTGTACATATACAGGGTGTATCACGTTAAACTAGGCCACTTGAAAATCTGTTACAATTTTAATGATGCCAAAAATATTTTATACGCAAGTTTATGCGTGTTTATCTTATTTTGTACTTTATAATATCATATTTTAACATCTGTTAAAAAATGTAATAGAAAAGATATGTATTTATAAGCCAAAAAAGAAACGTCGACGACCTTTGAAAGCTCCCTCCAAAAAGACCCTAAAACAAAATTTAGTAATGACCCATTCATAATATTCATAGTGTATATAAAACATTTTTGGTACCATCACTATTGGAAGAGATATTCGGGTAATCTGGTTTAGGTAGACCACCCTGTATAAAACGAGATATTTCCGAACATTCACTTTGCAAAATTTTAAGGACCTTTGTGATTCTTTCTATCCGAATTTACGTGTTATAATTTTAGGAGATAATTTGAATTTTCTTAGAATATAATTACTAACAAAATCGAAATCTGATGTATGGAAATATCTAAAAAACGGGTCAATGCGTCGAATCGTAAACATTTTGACTGTAAATTATAAAAATATGAAGAACGATGTTGTCACTTTGTTTATTAATTTACTATTTTTTTTTTTATGCAGGCACTAATATCCTCTATGTTGGAGTGCATGGACCTAAAGGCCCGTGCGATGAAGTCGGCGTGAAACACACGGGTCGCAACAATTACAATGTGAGCTACTTAGTTCGCGAGAGAGGAGAATACATAGTTATTGTAAAATGGGGCGATGAACACATCCCTGGATCCCCATACAAAGTTGAAGTCTAAATACTTATGCTTGTTTGTTCTGCTTTTTCCATTTATGATCTTGTAAATTTAAACATTTTTTGTTTCGTTTGTTAACAGTCCCTAAATTAATTTTTTATTTGTATTACTTCAGTTTTTGCTCAATTTTATATTATCGTAACAATCATAAACAGAAAGAATGGAACAAACAAGTCAAACTCCAACGAAACTGTGCCACTTTTGCTCTAAATCTTAGCGAAATTATTTTATCGGTTACTCGAGCTTGATTTTCACACATATCGCTAAAGAATTGATTTACTTGAAATAATACGACAATAAAGTATTTGCTATGTAATAGATCAATGCAATGAAAGAATCTTTAAACACGATGCATTGTTTCGTTACAACTGTTTATTTAATGGTGAGTGCAGGAGTACTAAACAGAGAAAGTTTCATGAAATTAATCAGAATTGATCTCTTCTGCACAATACGTTTTTCTGGGTTTTACGATGTCGATAATGTTTCATTACTCTTTGAAAAAATAAATAATGAAAGCACAACTTTTCGTTCGTTCGATACAAATTACTTTGGCGTTGATATCAAAGGAAATAATTATTTTAGTATTGTGGATTTGATGCAGACAAATTTTAACGTTTAAAATACCAATTAAAGTACAAATAAAATTTATCCACGGAAAAAGAAACTGTACTCTCAAGTGTGAAACGCGAACAAGATTAGTTCCATCGTTAATTTTGTAGTTATAGTATAATCTCGCGAGAACCAGAAAAGCTATGTGGCCAAATTAACTTCTGAAACGCACATTCGGTGCATGTAGGGTAAATCGTAAGAATCCTTTGAGAACAAACTGTATTAACCTCAACTGTTTAGCAGGCAGATAAACTCGTGCAAAGTAGATAAAAAGTGTTTCATATTATTTTAATTATTTCATTCAGTAAGTATTACTGAAATTATAATTGTACATTTATGTATTGTACGTTTTACGAGATGTACACCGATGATTATAAAAGTTGTCGTAGGACCTAAAATCTTTCAAATGATGACATATTTGATTCCGAATTGGTAGAATACGGTGTCACCAGTTTTATTCTAATAATTAGAAGCTTCGTGCCATATGTGTGTCCATGATCTCGCGACAACTGTTATGCTAGCTAAAAATAGATTAACTGACAGTCGAAATCGAAAATAATATGAAAACGGTAAACTCCAAGAGCGTATAAGTCAATTATTTTTTAAAGAATTAGGAAACACCAATTGTGCCTTCCAGTTTAGTTTGAAGAAAACTTATTTTACTAAAATACGTTCGAATGTAAGAATATCGAAGAAATAATTGTTAATTAAACATATCGAATATTATAAATCATGTTACGTGTAATAAAAATTACGTTTATTAAATAATTTATCGATTTGTATATTTCCTTGTACGAGTTAGAATTTCTAATTGCATAGTATTTTACAAATTTCCTCAACGATATGTAATCTAATCGTGATATGTGTAAAAATACTCGACAAGCTGTGTTACATATAGAAATGAATCTACTTGTATTCTTTAATGAGTTTGTTATTTTTGGAGAAATATGTAAAATACTTTCTATAATTTATTTAAAGTATGACTTTTAGTATTCTCAATTTATTTTCCATGATAACTGTTTGTCACTCAGAAATTTACACGTGTGGTTTACGCGAAGCACGTCTCGAACATTAAATTCAATATAAATTTAATTATAGTTCAAGGTTAATAAATTTCTTTCTATTTTTATATCGTATTGTATATGTACAAGACATTACACGAAAAAGTGAGTTGGCTATCATGATTATCGTAATTATAATTCGTATAATTACGTTAATCATACTACAAGATAACAAAACAAAAGTATTTCAAAATTAATTTTATATAAAAAATATCGTTATATTTCATGAATGTATTAACATTCACAAAATATCTTTTCAACTAAAAGTGTCTATATACATCTTTACTTTATAAATATCAATAAGCTTCTAACCATTCATATTTGTGTCAAGAAATATGTATAACATTATGGAACTCCAGTTTCTTAATGAAAAACACTGCGTACAAGAAGACCCTAGCCTACTCTTATAAATGTCACAAGAAATGTAACTACGTGCGGATGCTGTACGCAATGTATAGGAGCTGGTGTGTCTGTGTCGAACTTTGGGCTGTTAATATGACGATGTACTAATTCAAAACGCGAGAGTTTACTTCTGATCGGTCGCGATTAATATTTATAATACGCAACACTAATGGCACTCGCGGTTGATCTTTATTCACGACTCTACCCTGAAAGAAAACGCGAAAAATTCTAATCAAAAGTTAGGTTGACTCTAAATACTACTTTTAATCGAACGCGAGCAATATCCATTTATACGCAACACTAATAGCAATCGCGATCAATGTTTATTCGCAACACTACCCTGAAAGAAAACGCGAAAAATTCTAATCAAAGGCAAGGAGACTACTGTATTTTCATTTCGCAACGCTACTTCAAAACGCGATTTGCCAAAGTGACACAGAATGCTGAATTCCCACGTTGGAGTACATGACTCGGCTAAACAAACTACACTACTGAAACTACAGGCGAGTACAGTGACAAAAGTAGTAACGAGAATGACTCTCCATCTTCGAATTCCAATTCGAGAATGCAGAGCCATTTGTTGAAGCCCTTTCTTGTGACAATTTGTCAGGGATTCTCTTCTTTCTTCGGACGCATTGTCCCATCTGAAACTTATAGCTAGGTTCGAGGTTCCGTGCAATACGTGGACGTTGAACTCGGTGAACCACACGTCTAGAACCTCGAGGGAACGAGCGTTTCGAAGGAGCCTACTGATCACGATCGCGACCGCGAAGCAACCACTCAGAGAGTCGAGACCTGAAGAATCGAGAACAGATTCCGAAACAAACGAACAGAAACTTCGTTTGCATCGTCATCGCAACGACTCCTCAAATCCACCTACAGGTGCAGACCCGTCACGTACGCGCCTACCCAAACTAAAAGTGATACGATCTGCCCTGGACCCTAACTGCTTATATTTAACATACACACCAGAAGGTAAGCTACCTACCTACCTAACGCTATATTTAAAAAATGGCGAAACAATCACACCAACACACACGCTCAACGATCCTCAATCAAGGCTCTCGGGCGCGACCTAAACTAGGGAGATGTCCCGGAACACCTCCGACACCCGTGTGTACTATACACATATTCACACTCTAAAGGTACGTACCAGTTTCCTGATATCGACTGACAAAGGCTAACGACCATTGCGCATAGATAACGTGTATATATAAGTATTTTTATGTACTATTATAAGATGATGTAATTATTGATAATCATATAGGTTCATCATCAGATTCTGATTCTGATTCTGATATATAAAATTGATAAGCTACTTTAAATACATTAGCATTTATAAAGATTATTGTCTACACAAAGGAGCACGTAGATGAAAAGTTTCAAGTTTTAAGTTATTGCAATAGGTAACAAATAGATTGGCATATTGTAATGAATTTTTCAACCTACGCAATTCCACAGGCTACCTACACACACATGTGGAAAGTACATCGTGCACGATACGTTAGCACAGTGTCAGTCGCCCATATTATGTAGATTGTTATTAATTTTACAGACTAACTTATCGTGCCCGTTGCCTTCGCTCACCCAAGTAGCACCTGGCCACGTGAGTGAGTTCAGGCAACGAACACGGAAGGGTTAAACCTGAAAATCCTCAACTAGAAAGAGCTATTAGTGGAATCTAAACGGACTAGCATCGTTTCTTTGTTACTTCGTATGCAATAAAAATGACTCGACTTCTCATTTATAAAAATTCAAAAGTTAAAACTGAGTATGCATTAATATTGAGAAAGTCAATTATTAAGGAAAATGACTAATTAAAATTGTTTTATTTATCAAAAGAAAATGACTAATAAAAATTCGTCAAAAAAGATTGCGAATAAGTCTTTGCAATGATATAATTTATATTGAAAATTTCAGATGCATATTGATCTCCTATCAGGTGATTGCCCTTATCAAAGTATACTATTTAAATACGAAAGGGTACAAAATCATATTACTTTTACGGAGGAATCGATCTATCGCGAAGCGTCCTTCTTGCACATATAGGAAAAATTTCAATGCAAAGAATGTGTACTTGAACTATCATCAAAATTATATTTGATGATATATTTTTATATTTTATAGCTTGCAAGTTTCAAAGCTGTACATACTACGTGATAACCAAACAAAAGCATTGTAGAATTGATTTTCTACGATAAATATTATTGTATCTCACGAATGTACTAACATTTACAAAATATCTTTTCAACTAAAAGTGTCTCTATAGATCTTTACTTGATAAATATCAATAAACTTCTGACCATTCATATTCGCGTCAAGAAATATGTATAACATTATGAAACTACAGTTTATTAATGAAACACGCGGCGTACAAGAAGACCCTAGCCTACTCTAATAAATATTACAAGAAATGTTACTACTCGCAGGTATGCTGTGCAATGCATACCCGCGGTCACTGTACTCGCCAAAGACCACGTATACAACTAGTCATCCGTGTCGATTCGGACCTTTCGTCCTACGACATGATTGGGGACCAGAGGAACAAAATAGCGTACGACTCACCGATCGCAGTCTGGAAATCTTTATGTGCCTTGTTGATAGACATCGTAGTAGCTCTGCATACACATCGTAGTAGTGGTTGATTCTGCTTGGCTCAGGAACGCTGGGATGAGGTACGAAGAATCTGTAAAAGAACACAAAACAATGATCAATTTCTGCAGTTACAATTTTAGCGATACAAATTTTGAAAGAAAAGTACGTATTCGTAGATACCTACGTTTCCAATTTGTTGAGCATCGCCCGATACTCCTCTTCAGTGATGCACTGACTTTAATACCGATCAAGCAATATTCGTTAAATAAAAAAAAAAAAAATTAAGAATCTACTAACGCGACCGATGATTTTAGCCGGCGAACAACCGTGACTTTATTTCGCGATTATAAAATTGAAAGAACCGCGATGCACTGGGAAGAATTTATAATACGGAATAAACACTGACACTATCTCGCGTATGCCTAAAATGTAAATGAAAATTTAATCGATGTCATTGTACATCGAAGCAAATAAACTTCTACGCAGCAAACACTGACTCTACCGACCGCATTCCACGCAGTCACTAAAATCTCTGAAAGAAAAGGTAGGATGGAGGGAGAGAGAGAGACGTAAACAAACAAGCACGATCGTGCTTTCCCAACAGTTTTTCATTCTGTTCAAGTGTTATTACGGAAATACTGTTTTTCCTGGAATTGCGACACCGATCGTCCCTTGTTATTGAAAGGCGAGGTCAGAGTCTCCTGGAAACACAACATTCTCAATGAGTATCTCTCAATTTCAGTAACGAAATATTATACGCGAATATAATCAGAAATGTTATAGTAACAGTTTTCATTGCTAGAGTTACGATCATGTTCATGACTTTGTCGCATCCTATTCTAAGATATATCGCGATTACTATAAATATTGCAAAATTCGTTGCAAAATCAAAATTCGTTAAAATTCTATAATATGTTCATATACGATCACGTAGTTTGAATACGAATTTAAACTTACTACTGAAAATTGAATGCAACTGCAATTGCGTCGACTTCGTAAAGATAGACATAACAAGAAATGTTCAATAGTATTGTATAAAGTGATATCAGAAAATACACAGTCGCGATCGAATTACATTAACACGACATCATTTTGAACTGATACAAAATTTCAAGTTAAAAAAACTTCGTATTAATTTTGTTCGTTTTATCTTGGCGATGATACGACATAAGATCGTGCAATATAGTTAAGATCAATAATAATTCACACGAAGGATAGTAAAAATATAAATGAATATGTCACCTTTCTCTTTGAACAAGGTACCAATTTTCCCAGACTTCAGATTCGAATTAGAGACACCATCATGGCGTCGATGACGCTTCCTCCGACTTTGAATCAGGGATAATCCATCATGGAGTCGATGACGCTTCCGTCGTCTTTGATTTTCGATCAGGAACCTGTAACTCAAGAGAACGAATAGTTTAAGGCATGTTTGTTCATTTAAATGAAACAATAATAAAGTTCGAAAGATTCCGTGAAAGATTGTAATTTAATTTAGAAAATTATAATATCTATTGACACCGAGTGAAGAAAAAGATCGCGAAATCGATTAAACTTCTCTTATTATGCTGACTGAATTTATAATTAAAAATCTATCGATATTATAACGAATGTAATTATAGATATTAAACGAGAGTAATATTAGTAATTATCAGAGATCGCGTAGTAATAGGTAGAATATACATAGATACTTAATTAATCGCGGAGTACTCGACGACACGTCTTATCACGCGGAGTTCCACGGAGTAAATGACGATCCCTCGGCGAGGGCTCGCGTCTCACGGCGGTAGGCGACGGGTAGGGGAAACTTTACTTCTTACTAAATTTTTGTATTTCGAAAACCGCGGACACGCAGTCGTGGATTTCTCAGAAAGAAGTTCGAGCTGTGGAAGGGAAAAATAAATATACCAGGTCGACGTTTAAGTTCTCAATGATTTATTACACTTTCTGCTGTCATGTATTCTGCGTCGTCAGTCTTCGACGTATTTCAAGGTTTAGACTGTGATGTATCATTCGATTCACAAGTAATTCGTATAATATAAATATCTTAATCTTCTAAAAATATCAATATCTAAAAATTCAATATGTAAGTACATTTATTTTTGTTAATTGTAAAGCTGCAATGGATGAGACTTTTGAATGAATGTTTCTAACTTCTATGATTCGGTTGAATCTTTTGCACAGTCTGGATATAGAAAGCTTGTTTTATAATTGATTTGTATTGAAGTTAAATAGCAGGTACATTGCAGCAAAACAGTTGGATTGTTCTCTTATTTAGTATTGAAAAACACTGATTTATTCAAAACGATGATATGCCCTGTCCTTTTGACAACCCCAGGTAGTTTTCTGGATTTAAATTTAAGATGTCAATCCAGCGTGCATGGCTTGTTTAACTTTTCCATGGCCTGTCCATAGATATCTGCAAGAATGGAATGGAATAGGTCAACTGCACATAATCTTTTGGATTAATAAGTTTAAAATATACTTTGTATATATTAAGACTTACATTATTAAATATCTGGAAGAAAGGTGTCTCCATGCCTTGGTTTACAATACTAATATTTAATTAGCAATATCAGTGATATCTTAAACAAAAATATCAATTATACGTGTATGTATGTATGAATGTAAAATATAAATTTTAAAGAATACCAATTTTTTACATTGAATATAACAATAAAGTCGCGCATGAGAATGGAATTACTCCTTTTTCTGGGCAATGATAAATGAAAATTTTGAAGGAAGAGGTTTGTATGTATACATTTTGAGGTTAGACTTAACAAATAATGGTAACATACCTGCCTATTCAAAACCATTTTAAAATGGTGTTAATTTTCTCGTTTCATCCGGTTAAAGGGACCATTGCCTTCCTTTCAATATCCGTGATAATAAAGTTAACGAATGACTTTTTTAGGTTATCTTCTATTGTATACAATAGTAATAGGCATAGGAATCCTATCATACTTTGTTTTGCTTTGTTCTTGGATAATACGACTGATAGGCAGTGAACGTTTATCACTGTGTGGCCAAAGCTATTAATTCAGAATATTTATTTAGTTCAACTTAGTTATTGTCAACACATCTCTTGAGACACAAACTATGTTATTGCAGGTTATCTAAGGTCGATCGAGATGCCTCTTGTGTGACGCAGGTCACATTACTGAACGTGCGTAGTGGGGAGAGCAACGTGCGTACGAGGCAGGGCCGTGTTGACATCATTGTGGGCCCTCGGACAAATTAGCACACTAAAGCCTCTTATAAAATTCATTTCATTCAGATATAAAAGGCTAAAAAATAAAAATATAAAAGCACCCAAAGAAGGCAATGGCAAATTTCTCTGATCATTGTCACCACAAATGCGTTGAACGTTGGACAAATTAGCATGGTGTTTCTTAATTTATGGAGCAAGTGTATAGCGTGTTCATACGTTAAGACAGCACTGATACGAGACGACACGAAGAAGAAATGTGCGTATGGACCATTCCCACGGCAAATCGATCACTATCGTACGTGAGGTCAGGGATTTTGCTCAAATTGTAACATGTGGCAGTCTATGCAATAACGTAGTAGGGGTTAAATCATCATTGTGCAATTTTTGAAATATTTAAAAAATACGTACGAGAACTACCTTCAGAAAAGAATATTTTACTCTGAAAGCGTACTCTATAAGAATTTCAATTTTCTTTTTTTAATTGCAAAGGATCATTGCTTTTAACTGTGGTTTTGTTTTATTTGTAAAGGTATTCTTGAAATATAGAAATATTAAAAATATTTTTATTTTGTAGATATGGTCCTCGAGTCAAGTCAGAGTATTTAAAAAAATGTGTATGTGCGTATTTATTGTGCTTTTCTCTTTTGATTATATACATTTGTATAATTCGAGGATGTAACTAGAAATCTCAAGTAGATATAACGAGTATTATTGTCACTTTATGCGACATTAGAAGTTGTCCTAGGTGATAATAAGAAGTCGGTCGATACGAAACTATGTAACGGAAATTTATACATTTGATACGTCTATAACAAATATATGAAAAATTTGTACACAATTGAACATTCATAAATTTTAGAAGTTTTTAAAAATGACATTTGTATGACACTTGCATATTTGGCTATGCGAACATTATTCGAGTCGACAAGGAGTTTAGATCCTATCTAGCCTATCGATTGATCGATGATGGACATTTATTACCTGCAACTAGAATGATGACAGTCAACATATAAAAGAGTGGGCTTCTAGAATTTTGGGAGAATTGATTTTTCTTGTGTTTGAAAAAATTCTATGGTCTTTTATGAATCGTTCAAGCCCTCACTCGCAACTGAATTCAAAGATCCTTAGTAGTGGCCTAGGCACATGTTCAAAGAGGAAATCATGAGTTGAATCTAATCTGTTTTGAATGATTCCTTTAGTTACAACTCTTAATACCATGCAGGACCACAATTTATGCACTCTTCTTGTTTAAAAAAAACAATTTCAAAAATGTTGTCACAAATGTCGATACCCGGTTCCTACGATAAGTATAAACTTTCATGCATTCAAGAGTAACCTATCCTTTTTATGATCACTATAGTACGCAACCTTAAGAGAAATGAGTCTGATTTGCTTATCAGAAAATGCATTTTGTTCATGAAAACGATGTTTAGTCACAAGTCACAAGCTGACGTTGACAAAAATTGCTTAATGAGATTTACGAGATGAGAAATAATTTTTACAACTCTTCGAATATGTCTTCGTTGTATTATTAATTGTTTAGGAGATTACGAAATCATGGCATTGAAAAGGAATAGAAATGCTATAGTCAGAAGGTCCTTGAGTGAATCTTCTGATCTGAATCAACGAATTTTCGTAAAGGAGACATACGAAAATTATCTGAATGTAAATACCACCGTGGAAGTATGAAGGCTAGCAATTGCAAATAAATAGATTTATTTTGTTCAATTTCAAAGGAGAAAAATATATTTCCATTACTTATGTGACGATGATACTTATGTATGGATGTCTATTAACACGATTGCGTCTAAGTGACAGTATGTATTTTTCTGAAACGCAATATTTCAGTTTCATATTTTCACCACACGATCCAATCTAATTTCAAGCAAAAATAGGTTCATTTATTATGATAGTTGCCTCTTGCAATTTTCTATTTTTCTTCTTACTCGTTAAAAATTAAACATTTCCCCATATGCAATTGAAAATGTGTAGTGCACTTCAAATACACAAACTATCCTGCTGGACGATATTAATCCAGTTATTTCACTATTTCGTTTTCAAAATTCTACCAAATAATCGGTTCTTTCGTCTCGCTTCTTCGATACAAGAAACGCGTAACATTATAATGCAAAAGTCGACAGTGTCTACAACGACGAGCACATCTTGAAGCAACGTAAAGACGACGATTTTGTCGACATCGGTCAGAGTAATGACAGAGAGAAACAGAAAATCAGCGAATCGGAATATGTGTAGATGAAACAAACGAAACGATCGCGTAAAATCTGCGAGAACAGACGGGAAGAAGGGAGCCGCGGTTTGTTAATTCTTCTGTGAAGGTATCAGAGGTCCAGGTGGGTAAACGGCTAGGTGGGTAGGTGGAAGAGGTCCTCTAGGCCTCGGATGTGGTTCGTTTCGATAGGATGGTAGGCGGTCGCATTCGGTTTCATAGGTGCCTTACGCTCGAGTTCGCAGGCGTCGAAAACGGGTGCTCGATTTGCGCCGTCGTGTGGCCACCCGTTTCGCTTTTCCTCGCAGAAACACGCCCTTCCTTGCAATCACGCCAACGCCTCCGTTCGCCTTTAACGCCACCCTTGTATCGACTCGGCACCGTCTGTCAGACGCTCGCGAGATGTCGACGCGACTACTTCTTTTCTACCCTCTTCCTTCGCCTAGCTTAGCTTCATCTCATTCTATAATAACTGAACGGGCGTATGAAACGAGCGCCTACGTTATAAATTTTCAAAATTTGGGATTTTTGTTGCGATAGAGCGTACATACAATGACTGATAATTATCTAGTGTTTTTTAGGGTCTTTAAACACTTCTAAATGTTGTTAGTAGTTCGCGGAAAGTTATAAACTCAGGTTTTGGAAATTGAAGAAGAGGCTATGTTGCACTAGGTGTTCATGACATCGCTAATTAACGACATTAACAGTTTTTCCTTATTTCTAGTAAATTTGTTAGCATTCGATGGAAAATACTCACATTTTGAAAATGGAAGAAGAGCCAATGTAAAAGAATAATAAAGGAGAAAAGTAGAGAGCAAGATGACACGTAAGATAAGAAGAAGGGCATATGTTGCACAGGTGCTCAGGACATTTGTAACATAGTACAAATACGATTACTCTCGTACTTAATAGTTCCACTTTTTTTTTTAAGTGGATACATAATCCTTTTTCTACAATATTCGTACGCCACTGTTGCATTAGTACGTGTATGTATGCAAGTATGTTTTATATAGTCCTCTTTTACGATATTCGTGTGCTAGGCTTACATTAATATATTTTACATGGTCCTTCGTTGGTCAGTCTTCATTGGTCCATTAGGGATGCCAGTAGTCTTTTGGTGTCTACTGGCCCCCGTATAGCTCGGGTACCTCGGGATCGCTAATCCCGTACCACAGCTGCGATCGATCACGCATGCTACAGCCCCTGAGGGAAACTATGACTATACAGGCGGTCATTTCAAGTGTTGGATCATTCTGATGATCTATAAGGTAACGAAGAAGCTTCCGTTCCCTTTCCAAAATTAAAAACTTGAATGATATTTACGCGAAAGTTCTAATAGTGGAGTTACAGTTACAGTTACATTTAAGGGAAGACATATTACAGTGCCTATTAATTAGAGATCACGGTTTTGGACGGGTATTAAAATACACGGGTACACGGAACACGTGTACCGTGTATTAAATGATTAAGAACACGGGTATTTTTAATACACGGGTGCCCGGGTATCGAAATACGCTGGCGCTCGGATATCTAAATAGACGGGTACCCGAATATTACGGCAATCACGGTTATCCGTGACTTGAATATTTATTTGAACTAGTAAATAAAGTTTTATAAATTACACTAAAAAATTTATTCTGTTATATTTATTCTTCTTATGTTTATATTTTTTTTTATTTATTTATTCATTTTACTGCATATCAATTTTTTCAAAATTAATAAGGATCATTATTTCAGAATAATAGCTTTGTTACATACAAGTTTATATATAAAAATAATTCGATATTGTACCCGTATAATTCGATGTATGCGTAACCGTGTATTTCGATGCACGTATACGTATCTGGATATCCGTGTATTTCGATACCCGGGTACCCGTGTATTCGGATATCCGAGTGTCAGCGTATTTCAATACCCGGCTACCCGTGTATTAAAAATACACGGATTAAAACACGGATCCATTAATTACCCGTGTACCCGGGTATTTCGATACACGTGAAGTAGGGATCCCTACTATTAACCCTTTGCACTCGAGAGGTGACTCTCAGTCACCACTAGGTTTTCTTTAGGTTTAATTTCTTTGGAACTCGAAGTGCCAATAAAATGATTGTCATTGAGACGAAGATGACCTGATTCTCAAATCTCAAATTAGAGATCTCATTTTCGAAGTCAATATAATCTTATTCGTAGCAATGGAATGCTAAGAAAGCATCTCGAGTCGCTGGTAGATACTAGAAAAAAGACTTGGAATGCAAAGGGTTAAATTATATTAATACTGATGTTAAGTTTCTCGAAAACGTGCGCTCTGAACTCAATTATACTTATTTGTATGGCGTATGAATTTAAATTTAAGGCAAAGGTCGTGTAGGCAAGATTAAAACACTTGGATGGGAATTTCTCATATACCTTCCTTATTCTTCTGACATTAGTTCCTCGAAATATCGTCATTTTTTAAAGTTTGGATAACCACTTGCCGTACCAAAGCTTTCGAAACAAAGAGGCAATGGAAAATGTCTTGGAACACTTCTTTTCAATCAGAGATAACAGTTTTTATAAAAACGGAATTTATAAACTTGTTTCTCGTTGGGAGAAGGTTATCGTATGCGAGGATAACTATGGTAAGGAATAAATTGGTTTCTTTTTATGAGCTTTGAACAGTTCTTTCCTGTTATACAAAAACGATGTAACTTTCCTGATTATTCAATATAATAGTATCCGAAATCAGTCTTCAAGAAGTCGTGGTTAAGAAAGTGGCTACTTGTTACATACAAGTTTATATATAAAAATAATTCGATATTGTACCCGTATAATTCGATGTATGCGTAATCGTGTATTTCGATGCACGTTCGGCTACTTTTCGTGGTCCCTGCGGTGTATAACCCTACAGAGTGAAACGAAGAGCCACCATTGCGATCGAGACTATAAAGGGTGAAGTAATAACTTTGTTCACTTTAAATAACTCCTTTATTTATAGTCCTATGAACAAATTTGTCAAGAGAAAATTGTACTGTTTTAAGAGTCAATTTTTTCTGTCCATATAATGGTGGCTCACCGGTCTGTCCATATTCACCTGGAAGCCGACAATTCCCTAACAAATGGCAGACGTATGTGGAAACTGAAGGAGATTACTTTAACGTCTGAGAATAGATTTATCTTTTTTCTACGAATAAATATCGAATTTAGACGGAAAAGGTCGAGAATACAGAGGCTCGAGAATAGTGACGGAGCTGCTCTTCGGCTAGTGCAGTCGCTCTACTTCGTGCTGGGTCATTCACGGCTAGCGAGCAGAAAAAATTTCGGAATTCTAGTCAGCGTGGAATTGGTATGCGAGGCAACATAGCGTGTGGCTGCGGTACTTTAGTTCCAGTCGAACGCGTAGAAGCCTGATCGGGTATGCCCTGGAACTTGAATTCCCGGAGGTTGCCCAGGAATCAACCCTTTATGCCCTAGATACGATTTATACACATTGTAGGGTACCAGAAAAAGGTCCTTGGGTACGTGTGACAGTTTGGATGAATGAAATGTGAATTGTTTAAGGGGTCACAACACTATAACAACTTTAAAGAGAAACGTATTTTATTTTTACACCACTTGATTCAATGTTGGAAATGTCATAAAGAACAGAAATTTTCAAAATGTTGTCTCTATAACTATCGATAGTCGACTTGTGTCATAACTCTTAGCATACAATACGTACACAATAAAAAAGGCATTACAACAGGAGACACTGCCAGAAACATTTGCGGAGTGTACAGTGACCATGTTTTAAATTCGAGACTCGAAGATCAAATTTCAGCATTGGACGAATTTTTCTAATCCGATACCTCGAAAATTGGATGAAAATGGAATCGAAAAATTAATTGAACCATGGTGAAAGATTATAGAGAGAGATGGTCGATACTGCCACGATTGAAAATAACCGTATCATACTAACTTCTTGCATCGAAAGTCGGCGTCGAAGACTACTGTACCTAAGTCGCCTAAGTTCGTTGCAACAGCGAATGTATCCAGACTTTAGTCGGAGGAAACGTACGGAATTATATAGAAAGGAGCGGCGCGATAGATAAAGCGGGGGAGTTCAAACAGGGTCAACCGTGAACAAAGTACTGGGAACCAAGGGGGATTACGAGTGGTTGGAACTGGCGAGGTGTGGAAGGCATTGGCATGTGAATTCGCGCGTAACCGGAGGAGGTCAATTGCTGGCAGGTGGAGGATGGAAAGCATAGGCGGAGCTTTGAGTTCCGCCTCTACCTACGATCCCACCTCTTATTATGCTTTCCCCGACCTTTTCCAACCTCCCTCTACCCCTCCCCCCTCTTTTTCTGCTGGTTTCCCCAGTCGCGCTCTTCCACGTTTGCACATTACCCGTCTCGCCCTTCTTTCCATTTTCTTCGTCTTTTTCTACCCCCTTCTCTCGCTTCGCTCTCCGTTCTCTGTGACTCCCTCTCTTTTTCTCGCTTCCACTATAGCTGGTCTCCTCATCATTCCTCTTTCTTCCCGGTAAAAAGGAATCGATCCATAGCGATCCTTTCGCGAAAGCGCACTTGCGAACCGCACGGCCCCACCTTTCTTTTCTTTCCAGTTCCACCTACTCCATTTACTTCGATCATGCATTTAAGGAGATTCAGCCATTTTGCATCAGCCTTGTCTTCCTCTGCAACGGTCCGACCTTGTCGTCGTTTTATTCTCTCCTTGGCCCGCGCAAAAGCGGTCTTAATCGCGGTTTTTATTCCTAAATAAGGTGAGGAAAATCATGGCTGGGGTGTCGCAACGTCGAGATAATCAGTACCGTTGCTCTTCTTCTGTAGTCTACTGGCGAACGTTCCTTGGAATTTGCATTCACGGTGACAACGAAGCTCATCTTGTTTTTCAGGTGAAAATTGAACTCGAAATTCTGTTTTGATATTTTGTCTATCCATCGTGAATGGTTATTACGGTTTGCCAAACGTCGTTACATACTGTCAAACCAAATTTTTGGTAATATTCATTTTCTATATTGTTCGAAATCTTACAAAATTTTTGTTTCGTATGCTTCCTTGAGATTAACGTTACGTTTGCTGAGTTGTCTGTCAATTTCTGTATCTAAATGCTGAATGGGATTGATGCGAATTTGCGGGGGCGTTTCTAGCATGAACACATGAACGATTCTTTAGAGTGAGAAAGAATAATTAAAAGAAATTCATAATCAAAAAATGAAGAAGGTTTTAAATGAAGAATGTCTACCGTTACTAAGTTAGTTGATATGCAAAAATAATAACCAAAAGATTAATAATAGCAGTTCGAAATAAAATCGAAAGGCTATTCATTGATTAGGAAAATTTAATACATTTTTCTCATCTCATTTCTCCTTTGCTATTTATTTTGTTTAGATTAACTGTTTACAAATCAATGACAATTGTTCCTTTCCAAGTAAACTAGGTTGAATGTTATTTATTTACTACCCTCTACATTGAAATTATGCAATGTTAAATTAATTTTAAAGAAGAAGCGGAATAAATGTTTACTATAATGAAGGATTTAACATGTTGACTACAACAGTATTGTTCAATTAAACGAATCCCCACGGAACTTGTTACTTATTAATAGTTTTATGAATAAATATTCCATTCTCTAACACACACTGATTTTTTATTTTTTCACGTGCCCATTATATATTATTTACTCATAGATATTGTTTCGTAGACAGATCGCTAGTTACAAATCAACCTTTCACCCTGGCTTTCTGAACATATTTTAGAGACACAATGATTCTGTTTCTAGATATACATAATTCTGTTTACTAATCGTATTTACAAGAAGATATATATTTGAAAAGAATATGAAATGTGTGACGCACCAAAGCATTGTTTACACCCCCAGTTAATGCAACTCCATCTTTTTGTTTTTAGTAGCCATATGCTGAATAGCTTCCTTAAGTCTTCTTTTTGTTTTTTGTAGATGGAATGTTTTTTAAAAAACATTCTTTTTTTTCACAAGATAATTCACTATCGGCGCATATAACACGGTACTTTTAATTTTAAGATAAAATTCTTGACGCGCGAGGTACGTCATATTCAAGCCTTGGAGAAAATTCTCTCGGCGTGCGTGGCACGTCATACCAGCGCAAAAGGTTAACTGGTATTACTAATACTCGGCATTTCAGCGTGTCAACCCATTCGGAACAGGTGTTATACATTTACATTGGGCACCATTTATCTATAAATGTACGGTGCCTGTACCAGTTGAGTTAAGTAGGTATTCCAGTCCAGAGCTTTCAAAAATCATTTTCTTTTCATTTTCTTAAAATTTGACTTACAAGGTTAAACTTACGAGATTATCACAAATCTTAAAGATCCAAAGAATTTGATTGAATTCAGAAAATTAACGAAGTTGAGGACGTCTGAAGAGATCCCAGGTTTTTACTTTTCAATATTTCTTAATCATTCTGGTTGGAGACAAAGCGATATTTATATTAATGAAGATGATTCTTGATTCGTTCATTTTGGATAAGCACAATATATACACTTCTCAAAAGGACCTGTAAAAGATCACATGTATTACGTTTAATTTTGATTACTTTCAATGAAAATAAATTATCTATATATTTTTGAAGTATGAATGAAAATATGCAAAAATTCCTTATGGTTTTAAAGTAAAGAAATCCCCCAAAAAAACAAGAATATTGACGCTCTGGACGAGAGTACCCCCTTAAGAAAATAATACGTACCTTTGTGTTCCTTTCGTCTAGATGTGCTTCATTAGAAGTTACTGTAACGTAAAACATACATACAATACATACGGATTTCGTTGGAAGGATTTTCACAATTGAAGGTGTACGACGCTCAAAGAAGAAAACTGATGGGAAATGACCGCTGTACATTTCAGGATCACTTTATTTCGGTTACAGAACAACGTTCACAACAGGTAGTTGGTTTGTTTTGTCCTCTTGTTTGGTTCGTGTATTTACAAGAACATCCCCGACGTGCGCGACGGGACGATTCCTCGATCGTAGACTTTGATCGAGAAGAGAGAAAGAAACGAAGTCGATTACGTTTCGAAAGACGAGACATCGTTGTTTCAGTCTCTCGAAACGATTGCACGGGGTGACTCGCAAGTCCTTCTCTCTTAACCGATCAATCTCGATCGAGCTGCCTGCTTAAATGTTAAGACGAGAATATCGTTAAACGCAAAATGCATCTGGACAACACGTTGCGGGAATCGTTTCGAGAAGGATGGACAACTTTCGATTGCCCTCTTCCTATTAATCGATATCACGTAAAAATCAAATCAACCGACGTGTTTCCGTCGAGGACTCGACACGATTTCCGCCTGTGCCGTCGATCGATGTATCGGAACATCCCATAAGCCAGTGTTTTCCAAGACCAACTCTAAACTATGAGCGTAACATACCACCTAGTGACGCGATAGGCCGAGGGGCGCACATTAAAGATACCAACGAGTAATGTTATCTTTTTCAAATTTTAAAGATATTGGTCTGACGATAGTTTGACACTTTAATCAACAGTCTACTCAAAAAGAGTGTACACTTTAGAAGAGAATTTACTGCATTAATATATATCAATTTAGACTAGCAATTAACTTCATCGCGAGTTTTGTCTATTTCCAAAAACTGAACATTGTAAATACACAACCAACAACACAGTGAATAAATTCCAGAAGGTAAACACTGGAATTAAAAAGCTTATAAGCAGGATGGGGATAGATAATGTGTTAATATAATCTATATTCTAATTAAATATTCATCCACATGTGTCCCCTATTCCCTCCGCTCCATTAGATGGTATGGTAAGTCCGCTGTATCGCAAAGCTTCGGGACCTGGTCTTGGAGAACGCGAGTATTTTTCTTCTTTCGAATATGATAAGGTATGTATCGGATTTAATCAAGAAAAGGTGAAAACGTTTTTTGATCTTTCCAAATAAATGTTTAAAAAATACAAGTACAATCTCAATCTTTGAGAAACATATCTATATTAGACAGTCTTGATATATGAGAAATAGAGATTTCGACTTTGGAATATTGTTTATGGATGATTATTTTTTGACACTTTGTACATTTGAAGATGTTTTTTACTTAAATTTTGTATATGAATTCTGGCAAGGCAGGCTCTTCGACAATTGATCGAAGAATCTTTTGCCACTGAACATTGAATTTGATCGTTAAGTCGAAGAAACTTGTTCAAGAAGACTTTGGTCATTTTCGTGTATCGAATAAATTGTTTCATTACGCTACATTCGAAAAGAAAAACACACTCTCATTACTTATGGTAGGGCTAGACACCGCAACTGTCCCAGCGCACGGTGAGCACGCAAACTAGTGGCTAACTTACGGTATGATCCGATACGACTGTGGCGAGGATCTAATATCCGTAAATCCGCTCCACCGCACGTTGTCATTAAATAAAGAGATAAAAAAACATTCGCGTATGAATGATATTCGCGAATCGGATAATAAATTATGAGAAAAAAATCAATTTTAATTCGACTTGGTCCGTTTTATTTAATACCATGTCTTTTCTTTCTTTCTACCTCTTTCGTTAGCAACTTTAGCCAGCTAAAATGAATAATATCCGGCCGGCTTAGTCGACAATTGTGCACATCTTGAAATCGGAAATTTATTGGAAAAGAAAAGACAACGAACCGACTCTTCGACATTAATTTGATGAAAAAGTAAAAAAAAAAAATGTAAGTTTTGTTCGATTGAATTATCTATATCGATCGAATCGCTCGAAGATCTACCGCTTCAATTGTAGAAATATCGAACGAACGTGAACGAAATTCGTTTCGCGTAACAACAATTTTCCTCTTAACTTCTATTATCGATATTCTATCGGTCTCCGATTCACAAATGTTTCCTTCCAACCGAATTCACGTTTGTAAATAATGGTTATTGTTTCAGATATCACAATAATACGGAAACAATTCGGAATGTAAATTCTGCTCTTCACCAGAATTCTATCACCCGCGCTTCGCTTTATTGAAATTGCATCACTGGTTCCTTGGGTTGCGTATCTCACGATACTTGAAGCAGGATACTATACAGAGTGAATTTCCTGACACGACGGCTTTAAATAACTCGTGAAGCATTCGCCGTTTAAAAATGTTTCAAACGAAAGTTGCATCGTTTTCAGAGGTACATATGTAGACTAAAATACAATAATTAGAATTTGTATTAGGTTGTTTTTTTCATTGAAATACAAAGGTCAGCTTCAATTTTTTAAATACAATACCTAATACTTTTTATTGAAATGTTAATAAAGCATCAAATTTTATGTTGAAAAAAAGTGATGGCTAGCGAGCTGCGTTCAATCTACTGACTACAAATTCCAATTCAAGGCTTTATAATTAAAATAAATTACTACACATGGTAAGATGTTGCATTTCTCGAAAAATCTACGATGATAGTTTTTTGTTAAATATTGACATCGTCGGATACAATCCCTAATTTTTTTCATAAATGTTCCATTATACCTGCAACATATATTTTATTGGCTAAAATCAGACTAACTGTTCAAAAGTTAACAATCATTTTCGAAATTTATTCTTTCTTTTCTATATAAAAATAGTTAAATATCGACGATAGATATTTGATCAGATTACAAGTGAAACTTATAGGAACATATGTGAAAAAAATTCTTATCTGGTTACAGGCCTTAAAAAAAAACTCTTTGAAATTGCCTACCGACATATGTCGAACCTAATTGCTTGGAGTGCAAAGGGTTGAACAGATTCTTTCCTAATTGTTGGACTGGGCGTGGTGAACGCATCATGGCCAACCTGCTCACCTGATTACTTTTCTTGGACAGCGTTAAAAAATTAAGTTTATCGCGAGCCACCAACGATGGCCAAAGATATGAGAAAATAACGTTAGTAATACAGTATTAGTGCACATGCCACAACAGACAAGGCACTTCAAAAAATTTCTCATCGGTTCATAACCCAACTATGCGCTTTCATTTTTTGTAGCGAAAAATAGTGTGAACACCTGTTGAAATGAAACTTGTATGAAATAAAACTCATTTTAATAATATCCTAGTAACTATTAATTTTAAACTCCACGCGATATAATTCATTTCAACGTGGTAATCGATGCTTTATCGACATTCCGAGAGAAATATCGGACAGTCCACTTAAAAAATTGAAGCTCACCTTCTCGTATCGCGATGAAGATGCAAAGTAATCAGAAACTGATCACTGCGGTATACTACTGAAATATATTTTGGTACAGCAAATACGTTGCGCGTTGTTTGAAATCGTCTCCTTAGGAGATTTACTCTGAATAATACTCGTTATCGAATTGATTATCGCAAATTTAAGCGTTTTTTTTTTACCCGGCCAATCTTTCTTTTCCGCGTTTAAAAATCAAATTTTGAGAAGATCACGTAACAAATCGTAACAAGCTTCGTAATGTACACGTATATGTATTTCTTCCATTTTGCAATCAAGTCGTTCATGCTTCGTTACAGAAATTTTAGTGGAAGCGACAACCTTAACAAATTCGCTAATCATATTTTACATATGCATACGCGTTATGACTCGAAACGTGTATAAAGTCGATTTTCGAAAGAGGATTAAGAGAACGATAGATTCGGCGAAGGGGAAAATTTCAGATAGATGTTAGTCGTTTAAAGTCACACCTAAAAATCTCAGGTACGCGCGAATACTCCTCGATTCGAATCAGATTCAACTTCGTATGTAAAATTGAACACACCAACGATAATCACCGATTATCGATCAGCGTTACCCAAAATTTATTCTACACCACTTTACCATGCGTCAAAACAGATCCTTGCGTTGGTGAGCTGAAATGCCGAAAAAAACATACGAGAACAATTTAATTTAAGAGCCGAACAGGGACTTACATATGTAATCCGTAATACATGGCAATTATAATGAAATTATTCGGACACTTACGTCTTAAAAACATTGTAAAGCGTTTCGATTTTCACCTAGACGACTTTCAGTTCTAAAATATGCAATTGCTTTATAAAACAACGTGCACATGTTAGAAATTAGGTGAAACTATTCCTGTTTTTAACGATACCGCACGGGGATTACGTAACATTTCTTTCATAATAACTTAATAACCAGTTAATCGCTGATTTATATCGAATTCGCAGCAAATAATTGAATCGTTACGACGAACGAAACGTGATCGATAGAGCCGAGGTTGCTTCGATAGAGTTGCTATATTCACGCGCGCCTTTCAGGCATAATTTACTAACTCTACGATGCGTAACAGTACATGTTAAATCTAAAGAAGAAATGTAACGTACCGCAGAAAATATGTACAGTTATTTACAAGGTTCGAAACGTTTCGAATTCGTCGATTTTTACCACGATCGATTTCTCCGCGAGTAAAGACTATCCCCCGGGGACTATCGATTTTTCGTCGCGCGAGAGTCGTTAGAGCTCTGGTAGAGATGGTAAAAAGCATCGTTCTATAGTCGAAGAACCGTATTGGATAGGCTCGTAACTTTTCGGTAAAAGAACGGTAACCGATCAAACTCTCGCGCGATGTAAACTCGATAGTCCGAGAGAGACCTAACCCCAAGTCTAACGGCTTCTTGTTTGGCACACGGTCTCCTTCACACGTAGATACGGCGCAAGTCTGAAGGTGATGTTATCATGTTGCACTGCGGACAGAGCTTTTTCGCACCCTGAAAGCAGGCAGCAAAAACGTCGACTGTTAATTTAACCCTTTCAGTGACAGTTGTGGATATAGCACGTTAAGGGGTATTCTAGTCTAGGACTTTAGAAATATCGATACAATTTTTTTTACATTTTCTCAAAGTGTAGGTCTTTAACCCTTAAATGGCCCAAGTTTCAAATTTGATACCAGACTTAGAAATCGAATTATACACTCCCAATTGGATTGTTTTTAATATTTGGCTGTGTGTGTGTTACCATTGAACGATGTTCTTTCGAACAAAAGTTAACAAAGTAAACGAAGTTGTTTGAAGGAGACGACGCTCAGCCCTATAGTTACCGTAGGAATGATTCGAACTACTGTATATATAGTTTTCTGGTCGGTGGAGATACTTCAACTGGAATGATTCGCGAAACAATAGACGAACTATTGAAAAATTGTCATGTTAGCAACTTACCAGTGTGTGTAACCAACATTGCTCGCAATGCACGTGCCAGCAGCAGACAGAAGTTACAGGTTTCTTGTATTGTTCCTGGGAATAAACATGAATAAAAATTCCCTTGATCGACAAGAAATTAAATTAGCTTCGTAACGCGAACCCGCGTATTTACCGATCGCGAAAAATATTGTACGTTCGCAAACGTTCGGAAATGTTAATTATGTCCTGGGAAACCACGAAATGTGCGCGAATAGAATGTTTGCTATTGATAAAATATTCCCGGCCCATAGAGAACGCGAAAATGTATGAAATATGAATTATAAAATAATTGTTCCTTTCCGTCCTCTACCATTTTTCCCAATAAAATGACTAGTAAACAAATCTCTGTGGCATACTCATCCGAGGTAAGATAAGTAAGATTTCCTTCGCGTTACGATCGTTCTCCGCACATGTTCACTGAAAACTCACCATGCAGATGAGACACTTGAATGGTTGACATCGCATTTCCGCTTCGAGTTCTCGAATTCTGCCTCTGAGAGCCTCGATCACCGGGGTGTCGCCATCCCTTCTGGGTGAAGACGAAATGCCTTCGCCCTGCTCGTTTTGACCGAGAGGAGTCGTCGTTCCTGGTTCAGGCTTCACTTCGACCAAACCGTGACCTATCTGGTCGGGCGTTTGAGGCGTGTGCGCGGTATTCGGTGTGTTCGGTGAAATTACGGCTTCTCGAAGGGCGTCTCTCTCCTTTTGCTCCCTTGGCGTGCCTTCCATACGCGGCGCGATCACGTCGGCCTCGGAATATTGCGCTGGCCCGAATTCGGCGGCATCGTCGCCGTCCACCACCAGGTCGACGTCTTCGTCTTCCTGCTGGTTCGGTCCTCCGTTCCCGCTGCCCGTACGGTTGCTCGACGACGTTGTAAGGCCCGCAGCTGAAAACGGGCCGAGACAATATTCGTGAAATTTGATTGCTCGTTAAGTGGGTGTTATCGTTACGCGCAAAAGAAAAGATTTCTTTTTAAGAATTTTCATTTCTCGTAACATTTAATTGTGGAATGTTGACGTTTTTGTGCGTAACAATGCACATATTAAACAAATGAACGTTTTCTTTGTTTGTTCTTAATCATTTTTTTTTATCATTGATAATAGCCATACGAAGATTGTACAATTTTTTTCTATCTGACACGGTGACATTGGATTATTCGAAGGCAAATATCGAACAGATTTTTAACCCTTTGCACTCGAGAGGTGACTCTCAGTCACCATTAGGTTTCACGCAGCAACTCTACAATGCCTAATATTTCTTTAGGTTTAATTTCTTTGGAGCTCGAAGTGCCAATAAAATGATTGTCGACGAGGAAGCGTTAAAGGTGACCTTATTCTCAAATCTAGATAGCTTGAAATTCATGACAATAGAACGCTAAGAAACATCTCGAGTTACTGGTAGATACCAGAAAAAAAGGCCTCGAGTGCAAAGGGTTAAAATATAGAAGTGTAGTTTTTGAAAATAAACAGCACAAATCTGCGTCATTAGTTTAATATGTCTGGTATTATTGTAATATTTATTGTAACGAAGTAAGCAACGATACATGCCAGAAAATCCTCCGACAAGCATCGATGTAGCTCGTACTCTTCTCTGTCCAGCCCACTCGTACTCCTCGAAAGTTTCGGCGTCGCCTTCCACGTCCACCTCCTCTTCGTCCAGGTTGTTCTGACCAGCTGGATTGCCATTATTGTGTTTGCTCAAACACCTTTCAACGTGTTGATTTAATTCCTCGGTCGAACCAGACAGTTTCTCGCTACAAACGGGGCACAGAGGCTCGTCCGCTTTTCTTTTCCGATTCTTTACGCGGATTCTAGCCTGCGGGCACCAAAATTATTGATTTTGAAAATCTATAATCGTGCTCTAAATTCAGTTTGTCGGTAGAGTAATATTACATTGTAGTCAGAAATTTTATTTAATTGATCTTTACTCTACACTCGATCATAATTTAGTTAGAATACTTTTTATTGTGTAATACGTTGGTAACAAAAATGCGAATTGTATTTTATAACATTTTAATCTTAATTACGTTATTTTAACATACTTTTGTCAAAATTCTGATTAGAATTCAAAAAATAACTTATCCGTCAACTTGCTGCAAAGCTGGTTGGATTCATTATACATTTCTATTAATGTTATCCGTGACATTCTAATCGTACTGTTGACTTATAACACTCTTATCGACAATGCAAAATCGATTTCTGTGTCGACAAATACTGTTCTTTCAAACGTTAACACGTTCTCAATTCTTCGCGTGTTCTTTGTAAAGCTAGTCAAACCTTAGCATTAACTATCTAATTTTAAGAAAATTAAAAATCTTAAGCTTTCGAGAACTCTAGACAAAAGTAGCTTTAAAGTCTCTTATGGAAAACTCTTTATTATACGAATTAAAATTTCTTTCAAACGTGTTATTTTCTTCACGTTTAGATGATCGTTAACGATAATATATACGTTTATTTATTTACCTGCCTATTAGCTTTAATCCTCTTGTACGTCTCCCACCTTCCATGGGGCGTCCCATCAACAGCCGACGGAGCATGAAGCATCGGCCCATGAGGGTGATCCTGAAGATGTCCCGGTGGCAGACTCGACCTTGATGCTCGCGCTCGAGAAGATGACGAGGATACCTTATAAAGTCGATCGAGTTCCTGAGCGAAGTGTTGCTCCAATTCTTGTGGTCTCACGGTGACTCCGCATGCTGGACAGCAAGATGGATCCGAGGGAAATTTCTTTTTACCTGTAACAAAATAATACCGTAATGCGTTATTGTATAAAATTGCAGAAATACATTCACTTGGAATATAAATATATTTTAAAACTACTTATAATTCAGCGTCGCCAAGTGCTACTATTAGGAGGATTTATGTACGCGATTTAAGATGATTTACCTCTCTTTACCTCTTCTTCTTCAAGTGAAATGTCAACTTTCAATAAAAAGAATTATTTCTAAAAATTTGTATGTAATACGTAGACTGCGGTTATTTACGCATTTATGGCAAGTGTATGTGTCTCCAATCATGCCAAGTGAAACGTTTGACTTAATTTTGTTTCTCTAGCTTGAACTTGGCACACAAATTAGTTTTTTTTTCATGCCCTTTACATGCATACTTCACTACCGTTCGGCATTCTCTAGCCATCGTTTCCCTCGAGCAGCTTCATCGTTTTCTCTCCGTTGGTTTCGTCTGTTCTTTGTCGGAAGCTCAGCTCGCGCTTCCATTTTTCTTTTTTCCCCTTTCAATTAAATACGCTCGCAAATTTATGTCCGCGCCGCACCGTACTTCGTATTCGATATTCCGTTTGCCTTTCTTTATTGAAACAGACACCTTCTGTTTCCCTTATAGGTATTGCGGATGGCTTCGATTGGAAATAATCGCGATGCAAAATACCGGTAAACGCGTTCCTTCCTTCGTTTCATAATCCGACGACAGTTCGTGTTTGATTATTGCGCAGCCCCTCCGGCAAGGCAGCGGGATATTTGGCTGAAAGTGAGTTCATTCTACTATCTATTAGGGAAATAGAGGTAATACGGGCATAGTTGCGTTTACTATCCTAAACAAAAGAAGTAACGGAAGTGAAATAATTTCGTCTTTATCTGTTGCACCTGTATCCATCTTTCTCTATATCTGTATTGTTATTATAAATAAACCCTATCACGAGTAAACATTTTTCGGAAATACACGCCATTTATGGGCATGCTTTGTTTGATAAGCTAAAGAGCATTTTATTATTTACACGCTATGTATATACTCGTCCATAAATATGTGGAACACTTACCAACTTGAATGAATAGCTAATGTACAACGTAATTAATTACTATACAATTTTTTTCTTACTAAATTCTACTTCGAATGTGTATTTAGTAACATTTAATAACATTAAATCGTACGATATCGAAGTTTTAAGTGGGTTTCAAGTCTTCATAGAGAAACTATAGGATCATTTAGATAAAATAGTTTGACGAGATGATATTACAAAATAAATAGGAATGAGGTCTATTGGTAAAATAATATATTCTCTGACGCAACACAAACTAAATCCAGAAACATGGGCGAAATTCGTTAATAGATTCGTAACTTCCTTTAGATACTTATTCCAATTGAGGAAATGTCCACGTACACATGGACAGAGGTGTACATTTGGTTGGACACTTTATTACGTGTACTAATAAGTAGTTTTATTTATCTCATTTACTAGAGTAGACATCGCGGGACTAGATTTTACGCGCATTCAAAAGAGTGCGTCTATAAAATGTTGAAGAAAGAAGGAAGTGCAATTCCTGTGTTATTGAAATATAAGCCGCAGATAATTAATTGGGAGCTCGTGCAGTATTTACGGCCATTTAATCCGAATAGTACAATTAGTATATATCGATTGTGCCAGGTTGGTGGTTATGGATGTAGGATAGTCCCCTACCTATCACGTATAATCCCGTTTTAATTAAATAACTGAGTTTCTCTCATTCCCCGCGCTTGCCATCCGGCACCCTTTTCTCTGCTTTGCTACCATAGAAGAATCTCAATCTTCTATTTAGCATCGAAATCATAACGAAAGTAACGAAATTTCTGTCTGTTGATAATCGATGTATAAGTACTTACTTAAATATGTTTATAGATCCACGTATAAACGCTCTTATCTCTCACTTTTCATATTTCGTATCTACAATTTTAATACTTAAAAAATAAATATTCATCTGACACGGTACATAATATTTTTGCTTTTTAGATATTTTATCAAATAATGATATAAAATGCAGATTTCGCTTTCAACAAAGAAAAAAAAAAACAAAGAAATATAATCAAATACATACAACATAATTATTAAACAAATAAGATAAATAGAATTTCATATTAGTATATGTAATAAAGTATGTGACCAAGTATATATAAGCAATAAAATGTTTCTTACCTTATCAAAGAAAGCTTACTCTATACCTTGTATATTTCTAATGAAAATGCTTACTCGCGAAATCGTTAAGATAACGAACGTTGCAGCTATTCACCTTCCGCAGAGGTAATGGAGTAACACGACAGTTGTTTTGACTGATAAGAATATATTCTATTACGTGATATTTCAGTTCAGTAGGAAGCCAGCACTGCGTGTGGTAAAACAATCGTTGAATCCTGCTTAACCAGAAAGGGTTGTCGGTGGTTTCACGCTATGGCGTCACCATGACCAATTCCCTCAGGCATTTATCCGCAACTGTTGGCGTCCCAATGGGTTGGGATTTGCCCCTGGACACGTCGGCCGCGACCCACCGTCTCTTAACCCTCGCGGATTGGTCTTTTACCGATGACTCGTTGCACGCGAACTCGATCAATTTTTACACTCGACGTCAGGAATTTTGATATAATTGAAATATGATGCGGTATACGCGAAATTATAGAGGTTTCCTTTACAGTCGGAGCCTGCGGATCGATGGGACTCTCCTTGTCTGTTGTCACTATCGCTCGAATTGTTCGATCACTGCCAGGGGCTTTTCAATTGAAATTGAATTATCAGCAGAATTGTCGTTAGTAGAACTATTACGAGTATTATCTCCATCGGATACTTCACCGTAAAAATCAGAATAAAGTTTATCAACGCTATTTCCTCTACATTTCGAACGTAATTCTTAGAGACATATGTGGCTAAACAAGATCACGATATAGTTATATAAGAAAGCAATTAATTTGAAATATAGATAAATGTACAATTTAACGCAATTCGAATATGAAAGAAAGGATATTGTAACTCTTACTTTCTTTACAGAAATTTTCTTTCGCTTACGGACAATTATATCGTTTCGAAATATAAGAAGTCAACAGATGTACGAAATTGGAAAATACCTACATGTTGGTAAATTGTAAATGAAGAATGCCAGTAATACATAAAATCGATTCAAGACTTGGTTTCGAAATCTGGTTCACGATTACGGTTATTCATGTTTCGAATTAAATTGTCTATTTCGTAGAAGTTGTATCAATTGTAAAGACTTTCTACGAATATGTTTCAATTACTCTATCGTAAGATTCACCACGTTTCTAAATCATAATTTTGTAATCCACCCAGACCATACTGATAACAATCAATGTATGTAACCGCGAAACGAGGACGACAGCAACACGCGAACGAATGAAATAAACGCGAAGAAAAAAGCTGCCCAAGTGCGGTGATGTTCCTGTTGTCAGTGAAATATTAAAATACCTCTTTGTTGGTTCTCCTGCGCAGCGATAAAGTGCAGAAAGGCGAGCCCACGAAGACGATAATTACAAACACCTTTCATTTTATGCCGACGGAAACGCATCTGCCATACCGAACGTTTCCGATCTTAATCGACCGCTTAATTATCTCAATATGTATCGGGCAAAGCACGAATCGAACGCAACAGTGTAAGTACACGCAGTTCACGTCAAGAATCCGCAATAAACTGATTATTTACATCAACGTAGCACGTTATTAGTTATAATTAGACTGCAGGAATTGATGGATTTATGGAAAACTGGAAATATGGGAAAATGTATGAGAATATACGCAACCTCAAAAAGTTACGTAGCGTGTCAGCAATAAAATATACGTTGCAATGTTTATAAAATAAGAGACGCTTTCATTTAAATTTTACTTGATTATCTATATTTGTTGGAATATGAATTGTACAAAAATCTGCAGCAGTCTAGTTATAATAAATATTCGCTCGAGCAATAACTAATGTTTACAGACGTAAGTAAATCCTTCGAATATTATTCGATATTTTCTGTTTTCCTTAATGGACTAATGAATATTTTGTTACGACTATAATTCAGACGACTATACCTTTGAACAAGTATTGAGACATATTTGTGGTACATTAAAAAATAGACATTTTTTAAATAGTCCATAATTGCATTTAAATTCGCGTACATTATCGCTGATGCTAATATTGAATAGCATATCAACTTTCAAATATCATAAATCAATATGTTAATCAACACGTTAATTAACTCGCGAGTAAAGCTATTGTTCGTTAAATTTTCTTTCGCGATATTCTATCCATTAATTAGAATCTCGATGAAAACTGTTACAGTTATTATTGTGTATACTGTTGTAGTTATTATTTGTTGAACAATATCAAGGAAGATTTCGTCGTACTTGTAAAGTCACGATATTTAAATTTCTAATGAAATTTGGTTTCATCTACATGCCCCTCTTAAATCATGTTTTCCAATTCGATCTCAGGGTTATCACCATATATCGGTAGTTACCGGGTGTACGATATTCACAAGCTTACCACGCTTAAAGGTAACACGTAAGTTCGGCAGTTAAGGATACAAGGGTTCGAGGGGGAGGTTCCGATTCCTCCTCTACATGCTCGAGCTTCCATAAGTGCAGACTTCCCGAAAGGGTCTCGTCTAAGGACATGCGCCGTTTCATGCATACCGAATTTTCCGTATCTCCTAGGTCGTGCCTACTTTATGAGATAGACGAAAAGCCTTCAGTGTAAAATCGAGAGTTTCCTAGAAAGCCGCTTAACGTTTCCCCGTGTTGGGCTACTTATCTCTAACATTTTTGAGGATGCTTCAAATTACCTTAGAATGGCATTAGTATACACTGTCGCCTATCAATTTCGATACACCACAACACCTAACTATTAACTGGAACTTTTCCAAGGAAAGACGAACGTAATTAATGGTTGTCATACACGAACGAATCGAACTACTGTTGCAAGAAAAACTATTAATTAGCGTTCTTAATATACCATGTGTTATTAATTGTACCTGCTAC